AGAACTGAAACCTATCCAGTTTCCAGAAGGAGAAACCTATTTTTTGCAGAACACTGTAAAAAAAAATGGAAACCAAAAATTTGCAAAAAAATTATTCAGCAATAAGTATTAAGATTAGCTTAAATTTAAACAAATTAAATTTAATATAGAATCAGAATGTTAAGTTTTTTACATTGACTCTATATTAAAAAATAACTATTTTCTTATTATAAGTTTCAGTTTTATACAAAATTTTGAAATCTATATATCAGACGCTGTTTATGAGATCAATTTAAAATATTATTTCAAAGGCAGTTTGAGTATTCTTATTTAAAAGTATTTTAGTTATTTGAATAAGATAATTCATGAAATTGCTATTTGAATTTGTGAATTCAATACAGAATTTGTAGTAGTGAATATGTTTAATATGTGTCATAATAAAATACACTCATTCGAATGAAATATTGAAACTAAACTACTTGCTATTTTAATTTCCTTGGAAATGTATTTAATTAATTTTTCTTCCAATTACTGTTTTTTGGTTTCACATAATTAAAAATGGCATTTTAAATAGCTCAGAAATCATTACTATTATTTAAAGTAGATTGCAATTATTTGTTTAAAAAACTGTTTTAAAAAATTTATTCTATTTTAATTTTTCTTTCGAAAATAACAGTCTTCCATTTTTTTCATTAAAGAAATTTATTTCTTATAAGGTGGTTCTTTTCTCCATGCTTCTTGTTTAAAATTTTTTTTTTCTACTGTGGAGCAAACTTGCCATCCCAGCTTAAATCAAACCCTGAACAACATGCAAATTCTTTCTTCTAAAATCTTTCTATGAAATTCAACATATTTGGTTCCGGCTATTAAAAAATATCCATCAAGAAAAATTACCATATAATTTGGGTAGTCATTATCTTTGATAGCAAAGAAACTATTATAAAAATATAATAGTTTATTTTATTATCATTCTAAACATTATAAATATGAACAAAACCCAGGTTTTCCCTTTGAAATCCAACATAATCACAAAAATGAAGTTAAAAATAAGTTTTTAAAGTTACAAAGTCATCCACACTTTAATGAGAAAAACATTGATGCACATATTTTTGAGTTCATATTATAAACATTACTGTTTCAAGACATTTCCAGTGAATATAAAGTATTTTAGAACAATAGAACACAGAAGTGAGAAATTTCAACAAGACTTGCACAACACTCAATTGCAAACCAGCACAAAAAAGTTAAGGAAAATTGTAAAAGTTAATCAAAACACATAAAAAAAATAAAACAATTTTCAAAAATAAAAATAAGATTTTAAGACAGCTATTTTTCATGGCTTCATTTGAGGAAATATAAAAATACAACTTTATGCATAAGTTGTATAGAAAACAAAGAGCTTAAGGCAATGGTAAGAAACAATTCATTAAGAAAAGTTCAGGTATATAGATTTAAAATAATTGGAATCACAATAAAGGTGTTTATTTACAAAACAATTCATTATTTTATTAAATGTACACAAAGATGAGACTAAAAGACAATTTAAATTTATTTTGTCACACCAAACCCATTATTCTTTATATATGAGTTATTCTTTCTCACATAGTAAAAACATTTTACAACATGGTGCATAAGTCGTGAATTACTGAAATTAAAATTTGATTGATCAATTAAAACCAGCCGAATGCATACAGTTAAACTTCTAGCACAGAAAGCTTGGAACTCCATTAGTTGATAATTCAACAGTTTTAAAATATTGGCTTTAAGAAATTTTTGCTCTCCTAACATCAAATCTCAGGTAAAAGACTATTTTATTTTTATTAAAATTTGAAAATTAAAAAACCTTGGTAATACTTAAAAATTAATGTCTAGACAAGGCTCCAGAAATTGAAAGAAAGTAATAATTTTTAGAGAATAATAAAATTTCTCAATTTTTTCGGTTATTACCCCATTCATAAAATTTGAATTAATTTAAATTTTTAACTTTGAATTAATTTAAATTTTTAACTTTAAATTTTTTTTTTAACTTAAAAACTTTTTCTAAGTTTAAATACAAAGTTGTAAAAAATTATTATTTTTGCCATACCAGTGAATAATCATCTGCAGAAAAGGAAATGTCAAAACTTCTAAAAATGTTAGATAATTTTGAGAGAAAATCCCCCCCCCTCTTCTTTCTGCAAACAAAAAAAAAGAAAATTTTTAATTATTTTTGTTTTGAATTTTACTGCTTTGAGTTACAGAAGTTTTACTGTAAAGGCACCAGACACTTTTTCTTTAAACAAATTACAATCTAATAGGTAAACTAAAATCCACAAACATGTATTCCAGAACAAGGTTTCACCTTCATGTCAGACTAAAATTATAAAATTTCATAACTTAAAATTTCATTCAATAATAAAAACAAAAATTTGAAATTAAAATTTTTAACAAGAGGTATTTCCTTAAGAATGAAGAACGAATCGAATATTAAGAACAACCTTTGGTTTTTTAATGATGTAAATTTAAGGAAATTAAGGTTTTACTATACATATCTTAAAGACAAAATTATATCATCATTGCAAACAATTATTTAACAGGATCGCAATAACATTTCTCTTTTAGAATCAAATACATTATTGTAAAAAGAAAGTGAAAAAAAATTACTTAAAATAAGTAGCTCTATATTTACAATGCACAAGGTCAGATAGATAAGTGGTGTAACTGAATGAAAATCACCAAATATGTATTAAATAGTTATTACACATTTTTCCTTCATTTATTCCCCAATATATTTACATTCTCTTTATTTCTGCAACTTTTTCTTTTTGAGACTTTTCTAATTCACCAGAAAATATTTACAAACCAAGAAAAACGTACTTGATGAACATAAATGCTTGCGAAACAGACATTGTTTTTAAAATATAAGAGACATACACAGAGAGAACAGAAAAGACAGGTAAAATGACTAGCAATAAGAAATATAGAGAAATATTATCCTCCATAGAGAAAAAATATCAGGAACACGAATCAAGAGTTTAATACTAAGAGTTCAAAATTGCATACATTGAAGATTAGAGTGTTTTAAACCACCAAAGGTAGGTTACAAATAATAATTTTGAACAATAATTTCCTATGCACTTCTTTTTTTAATCATAAAAAAACTTAATCATATGGGATATTAAAACCCTAAGGAATATGGAGAAAAATTATCCTCCAAAGAGAAAAAAATATCAGGAACACAAATCAAGAGTTTAATACTAAGAGTTCAAAATTGCATACATTGAAGATTAAAGTGTTTTAAACCACCAAAGCTCATAAATCAGAATTTTGATCAATAATTTCCAATGCATTTAATTTTTTAGTCATAAAAAAAAATTAATAATATGAGATATTAAAACCCTAAGGTTTTTAAAAAAATGAAAAAGAATGAATTAAAATTCATTTCATTAAACCAGCAATTCAAAATTCTTAACAAATATTTCTTTTATTTAAAGAATACATGGATCTTCATTTTTAATATAAAGCTTAATTTTGAAATAAAAAACATCTCTACTTTTTCTTAAGCTATTTTTTACAATCATATAAATTGTTCAATGATATTGTGGGAAAAAAAAAGGATTTTATACCAACAACAAAAATAATTTTGAAACCATGCACAGATAATAAAAGGATATCTTGAAATAGATATGGATAAAAATTTAAAAAGTATAGGTATTATCTTTGTTGAGATATAGACCTATGCTTAGACCTTATCTTTTAATAACTAAGATACGCATAATATTAATTCGTAATATTATACACGTTCATTATTTTATAGTATAGAGAGAAATTACGCCAAATAAAAAATGAAAAGTATTACATGATGCATATGAGTAGTAGCCCAGATGCAAAACTTGTTAAATGCTGATAGATGAAGCATGTCTAAATTTAAAATAAAAAAATAAAGCTAAAACAAAAATAGAGAGTATAGAATGATAATACAAAATTCAATCTCAGGGGAAAAAAATGGAAATTGTAGGTTTAGCATCTAGACAATACACAAATAGGAAAAAAAAGTGTCTAATTGATTCTTTTAAATCCATTTCTAAAAGTGCTGAACAACACCACTTTATAAAAATAGAAATAAAAGGAAATTTATTTTCAATTATACTGTCATAAAATACACAACTTAGTTTTTGGAAAAATAAAACAGAATATTTAACCAAGGCAAAGAAGGAGTTCAAACGGAATCATATTTAAAAGAAAAAAAAGAAGGTATCACAGATACTATAACCAGAAGACCCTTTTTTTTTACATAAAATTTTGACAGTTTGAAAAATAAGCATTAAACCCTTTACAATCACTCATAAAAACTAAAGTTTCGAAAACCAGCACTTTTTGATTTTTAGCATGCAATTTTTTCATAATAAAAATTTGAAATAAAAACAACAAAGTTGAAAATATACAAATACAACAAAAGAGATTCTTTGAGTGCAGCTCGTGACCAAAAATGAAATTTTTAAAATTTCTCATTCTTAAATTTAATAAGAAGACCTTGATATTATACTAGTAAGTTATTATACATTATCTTTCTTACATAAATCATATTTTTAAAAAATTTTTCACTGGCCCAGAATGGATAAATGGATATGAAAAAAATTTTTTCTTCTTCTCCTTTTCTAAGATGAATATACGAAGAAAATTTGGGGTGAACTAACAAGAGCTTCAATTAAAGCTTTTACATGATTATCGCCTACATTTTAAAATTTATGGTTAGAAAAGAATTATTTTTTTTTTTCATGAATATAATTTATGCCAACGCTTTAAAAATAAACTTTGAAGGGTTCCTATGTTCCTATACAAGCTCAAAAATAAAATTCCCTGATTGTTAGGAAAAATGTAAACTAAATTTCAGGCCACATTTTTGTTATACATGAATACATTTAATTGTAAATATAATTTTAATTTAATAAGCTATGAAAGTTATTCGAAGGAAAATGTTACATGTCATGTAGAATTTAATAAATAAGTTCATAAATTATAGATAAACAAAATTTTGCACAACACAAGGATCAGAAAAACTTAAAAACTCAATGCAATATATTAGTAGAGTATATATTAAATGAGTCCCAAGAATTTTATAGCCTCTCTAATTGCCAATTTCCTTAAAATATGATTTAATAAGACCAAGTACTCAAATGATAAAAAAAATTTGAAAACTTATAAAAATAATCATTTGCTATCTTATAGCAAAGTATTTCAATAACATTAAAATAAATAAAATGTATACTTAATACTTCTTTTAGTTTGCTGCTTTTCTAAAAATAAAAACAGCACAAATAGATTCCCATGAAACTGAAAAATTTGTTTTGTATTGATTAGATTTTAAAGCTCGCACTATTGTATCAACAGCTTGAGCAAGAGTCCATAAAGATTCAATTTGCAAAAGACATAAGCTGGAATCTAACGAATTGATACAGAACACATATTAAATTTTAAACTTTATCTAAGCAGGAAGAAAAAAAAACACTAGCCACCATTTAGCTTAAAATGTATTAAACAATAAAAATATAATAGTAAAAAGTAATCTCAAAAATATTGTTTGATTAGAGTTTTTATCAATCAGTTAAAGCTAAAATTTTCATATCACCAATTCAAATAATATAAGGTTTCATAGACCAAGTCCCCAAATTTTTCAATGCGATAGAAAGATATAAAAAAAATGAAACTGCAAAAAAAAACTAAATAAATAAATAAAAATAAAGATTATAATTAAGCTGAAATTTTATTTATTTTTGTTTTGATTTGATAAATTTTAATTAAGCTCACACTAAGCTATTAACAGTGTCAGGAATTTTGAAACATATATTGAATTTTCACCTTTCTCAAAACAGAAAAGACAAAAAACAACAAACCAATATTTAAAGGGAGAAAAAAATAATAGAGCAATTTCTTTCATTTTTGGCGCGAGCTGTCACTCTTTAAACAATATAACTCGTCACATTTATTCTCCATATTCATTCTTTAATTTTCAATACAAAAAAGCAAAATTCTTAAAATGTTGTAACCTTTAATTATCACTTAGAATAAAATGTCAATTTCTTACAAAAATATGCAATGGCAAATATTACTCTTACAAAAGTTGTGGAAAAACAATTCTACTTTAAAATAGATCTACTGATCTTGTTTCTTTTTTCCATGAAGATGTTTATCAAATGTAGCACATATTCCAAATGAGCTATTCAAATAATCCTTTATAATACATATGTACACTTACACTAATACTTACAATAAAAGTAACACTGGTGAGAAGAAGCGCTCACTCGTTAAATTCATATTCATCACAAGAAACAATAGCTCGGAAAGTCTCTTGTTGAAGACATGTGAATCGAAGTCGGATGCCAGATCCATGAATTTTATTTACTTTCCATATTGAGGGTAACTTTTTCAGTTTTGGAAGAGATTTTTTAGGTGGCATTCTGACATTTGGCAGGTTTTTTGATTGGGAAAGTCTATATGATGTGTAATTCATCTGGAAAAGAAAATTTTTTAGACGGGTTTAAACTTATAAATTATAATTGAAGGTAAGCAAATTTGTAAATAAGGATGTTTTTCAAAGGCTTCATCGTAATATTAAATTATGCTTTTTTTGCGAATAATATGCTATTTTTATAACCGCTGTGAGTTTGCAATGGTTAGTCATGACTGTACTGTTAGGGTAAGTTTAGCCTATCTAAAGACATGCATGTCTAAGCTTATATTGAAAATGGCGCAAAACGTCAATATGGAGAAAAGCCTAAGTTTTCTGAAAATGAAAAGCGTTTGTAGTCTAATTTTTTAATATTTAAACACATACTCTCATGCTGCATTGCTTGGGCTCATAAAAATTTGAAAAAACTGAGAATAAGGCAGTGATATAGCTTATTTTCATCTAGTTGGAAAATATTGCCAAATTGATGATTTTTAACTTTTAAAATATTGAAGTTATTTATTTGTTCTAAAGCTCAAATAATTCTTCTCGGCAAGATTATTTATATATAGTTTAAAATCATCGCATTGCTTCAAGTGTAAGGCATTTAAACTATGGCTTTTTTCCCCCCTTGGCGACAGAGCTTCGAAAAACAGCGTTAACAAACCGACTTCGAAAGATTTTAAGAATACTACTAAAATAAACAATAATAACATAACATCTAAACACATACAAGACCTAAAAAAATATATATTGCTATAACTTATAGAAATGAAAGTAATAATTTTTATTTTTAAACATTAAAATAGAATCCTAAGTCTAAGAAAATAATAAAAATCGCAAAAGTTTTTTTCATATAAATTGATAGAAATGAACAATACTGCTCTTTTAAAACAGTTGTAACATATTTTTTGTTTAATGAGGAACCTGCATGTGTAGGGCAAGTGTGCAATGTTGATTATTGCGAATAGTCTTACAGAAAACTCTCGAAAATCAACTCAGCGTGTTTAAAATTGAAATTAATTTTTTAAAATTATAACTTAAATCAAAACTAACTTCACATGGCTGAAAAAGAGGCAAGGATTGCTTATGACATCAGAATTTACTCCCTGAATAAACGGAATTAACCAAACCGAAATTTGTCATAGGGTGAAGATTTTTACAAAGGTGTTTTATTATTTGAATCGTATTTTTCCAAAATTGTGTTAGTTGTGTCCAAATTGATATAATGCAGACAGAGAAGGATATTTGGTTTGAGAATTGATGTCTTGAATTCGAAAATATAATTTTTGTCATTTTTAAATGCTACAACTAAACTTGTCTTTGTCTATACATAGAAATTAGAACTGTTTTGAAAATTTTCACCTAATGGTTTGATTCCAGATAGGAAACAGAAATATTTAAGATTTTGAATTTTAAGTTTTTTTACTATCGATGCAAATAATTCTTAACCCTTTATTCATTTATTTTTATTCTTAAAACATTCTCTCCTGTACAACTACATAAAATAATTATTCACTTGTAATAATTTTTATTATATGTACTACAAATTTATTCAGGATAATAAACTGAGCGCGAAAATTGTTTTTTAAAATTTGACTCTATTATTGACTAAAATTTGCTTGCAGAGATGCATTTCACAAAATAAAATTCATGCAAAATTTAAAAAATAAATAAATAAAAACACAATAATAAAATTTTTTGTTTTGCTTATACCATAGGTAGTTTAACAAATTTAAAGTGTGACGTAAATAAAATACTACTACATCTTGACACCCCAATCTTTATCATATCATATTCTAATCAAATGAAATTGCTAGCGTTTTACACTGGAATAAAAGCAGGTGTGTTGGTTGTCCAAACAAAGAAATTGGTTTTAGCATGAATGCTGTAGGTGGTTGAATACTTCTAAATTTAACTATGCACTACTTTTTTGTATTAAAATTCTGTTTAGAATAAAAGTAATTTTTTAAAATTTTGTTATGTACTTCTATTTCATTCTATGATGTATACTCTCATTGCCTATTTCATATCGATTATCATATACACCAGTTTGTATTTCTTTAATTTTAACAGTTTTAAAGGCATAGAACTAGTTATTAATTTACCTTGCTTTACTTTTTACTTGGCTTTCTTTGTATCACTAAAATCTAAGTTGTTCAGAAACATAAATTGTATACACACACATATATATATATATGTACATATATATATGAATACATATATATAGTTTGTCTAAAGTAAGAACTCCCCTAGTCATTCGCCTGGACACATGGCAGTGACTATAGTAACAGATTTTGGCTTGGGTCGACAAGAGAAAGGGTATCTTTTTTTCTGGTCTAATGTGTTAGCCCTAGAGTGAAGAAAAGCTTCCCTCCCCGAAATGCATTATTCTTGTTTCCATAGCAGCAGATGGCCTCAGATTTTGTGGCGGGGGAGTTCTTAACGTAGACTAACTGTATATATATATTGCATTTATGTATAATTTTTTTAGAATTTCTTTATCATATGTGAATTTTGGTCCTTCTTTCTCGAAATAAATCTCCTTAATAACCTATATTTAAGTAAAAATAGACAATTTATACTGATTTTATCAAATACAGAGAAAAAACTAACTCCCAAGTATCAATTTCAAAAATTTCTCACACATAAATTTTATCTAAGAAGAAAATAACAGAATCACTTTATTCCAGGTTTGGTGAAAAAAACCCAAGCTGATTTGAGTCAATTGCTATAGAGTATGAAGAGAAAAACATTAAATATTAACTTTAAGATTACAAAGGTAGTTACCTACTTTTGCTACACCCATACTAGAACACAAATTTAAATGCTAAGTAAAAAACCAAAGCAATGAAAATCTGTTCCTTTTTTCAATTTTATAAAAAACAAAAAATGCCGTTTTTTTCTATATATAATTAAAAAAAATGCCAAAATGATAAATGTTTTGATCTTATATAGATTGTAACTATTTAATTTCTAATAAAATATTTAAGCTAGCAAATTAAACAGTATTTTAATTGTATAAACATACAGGAAACTGCACTGTGATTCTACAAAATGGGAAGTTTTCATATCCGTAACTGCACCAAAATTACCGCCAAGAAGGAATAAAAAAAATACAGAGGGGTGTATCGTGGTTCAACCTCTAGGACATATTTATCTAAAAAATTTTGAAAGTTAACTTCGGCGTTTTGCTGATTATAATGAGCCCTAAGGAAATATTAAGGGAAAAAATAGAGAAATAGTCAAAACAAAATAACAGAAATTATTTATAGATTAAAAGAGTTTTCTTATTCTTTTAAAAAATAAAGACAATGCAGTCAAGTTTATAAGTCTAAAAGTAAATGTTTTTCTCATTCTATAACTGCACAAATTGCTCTAAAAATTAAAAAAGCTCTACAAAACTGTCTACACTGATTTCTGGACTAACAACTGTGTAAAAAACCTAAAATTAAAATATGAGCAATGCTATTTATTTATATATACCAATACTTAAATACTTACCACTGGCTTTGACTCACTGTTACCATAAATTGTGGACTTGGAATCAGAACTGGAATGTTTTCTTTCAGACTTTCTTCGTGTTCTCCTGCCATAGACTTCACATCTTTTTCTTTTGACAGGCTTGACATGTTTACTACGCAATGGCTTTGATTGCTTGCTTGTATTTGGCGGATCAATTTTACAATTGTCAACATCAGATCTTAAAAGAGGACTTTGTTTAACTGGTTCATCAGTCTTTTCCAAAGTACAGACACTGGATTTATTTCCAATCTCAAAATCAGTTTGAATTCCTGTGAGAGAGTTTTGGCAGGCTGATTTCTTGATAGGAAGAGCTGAACTTTTTTCTATGTGAATTTCAAAGTTTTTAGAAATGGTACTTGTGTACCTTTTCTTTGGGATCTGAACAGTATGGTCTCTGGGCTTAAAACTAGTTTGAGCATCACTTCTTTTATCAGTAAGTTGGCTAGTACAGGAAATAACAGTTTTTAGCTCAGGATTATCTAATGATTTAGCACCAGATAATTTGTCACAACTGACACTAGTATAACACTTCATTCTTAATGCATCAGTATCAGATGTATTTATAGTTGACAAGCTGAGATTTCTCACTTGACTAAAGTCTGTACTCATAGGAGGATCATTTGGAAGTATTGGTTTCTTTTCATCAATGGCATTAACTTCTGCTTGGTGAAATACTTTAGAAGACCTTTTGAACTTATCATATTGGCCATTCCCTGATGAAATGCTAGTTTTAAACATTTGGGATTCATTGGTTTTCTCTAGTGAAACACCTTGGTGTTGTTTCGGAGCTCTAGTAGTATCATCGAAATCTTGCATTTTTCGAAAACCAGGATTATTAATTTTGGAGAACTTTTCTTCACAAATATTTATTAAGTTAGTTGCGCTAAATTTACTGCTTTTAGGTAGCGGCATTCCATAACACCCATTTAACGGTTTGATAGCCGGCAGACATTTAGTATCAGCTTCAATGGTAATATTATCACGATTGGTGTGGATATTTGTTCCAACTGAACAGCTTACAGTTTGAAAAGGTTTTAAATCATTTTTGTATTTCATGTCAGAAGCAGAACATGTATTTTGAATACAGAGATTTTCAGCTATTGATACATTTTTATCAATATCCAGAGGATATGTAGACTGTATTGTAGAACATCTAATAAAGGGCTGAATTCCAGATTGGCTCTCCAGACTTTTAATGTCCATATCATTGCTTTCAAGATTTAAACCACTATCAGATGCACTAACTTCAACCTCTCCAAAGTTGACACATGTATTAGAGTTACCTTTATTGGCTATCGCATCCATTCTGGAAGCTGATAACGCATCACTAGTTATCGTAGCATCCGTGTTTTTAGCACTTTCACTATCGATATTAATATTGCTTTTGATAACATTGGAAAAATTCTGCTTGACATGATCAGCTTCAATTTGAAGTTTGGAATTTTTATCTTTATCAGTCTCACTTGAAACTACTTTGCTATCCAATTTCATTCCACTATCACTGCTGGGTGCTAGGTTTTGGTTTACTTTAATGGTTTTAACTTCACTCTCGCTGTTTGTTATGATGTTTAAGACATTATAAATAAATGAATTACCAATTTTAGGATTGCATTCCACCTCATCTTCAGAATCATCAGAAAACATTTTATCGCCAGATTTATCTGGAGCCATATTTGAACAAGAAGTTTCTAAATTTGGCTTTTCAAAATAACCAAGTTCTGCATTACCAGGCATTTTATATGGCTCTAAATTTAATGGTGATTTATCAGCTTCAGCATCAGGTTCAAAGTTCTCCACATCAACTATACTTGTATCATCAACAATATCAGGCATTATTTTGTAAGAGTCTAAAGTTACTGGATTGGAGACATCAGCAGTAGCATTTAACTTGAGTGGATCATAACTTACTTTTTCATTGCCCAACAGTTTATCAATAGTTAAAGAATGTCCAGGAACTGGAGATGCACGATTAACAAAATCCATCTTATAAGGAGAAAGACCAAAATCAGACTTATCTCCAATATCTTTGACTTCGCCAGCGCTATTCATCAACAAGGAAATGTTCAAACTTGTATTCAACGGTAAGGATGCAATACAAGATCCTAACCCAGTTGTTTGAGGAAGATTTTCAGCCTCAGGTTTGTTGAATTCCTCAATTTTTTGTCCATCATCTAAATCAAAAATATTATCATCAAAATAGATATCTTTTTCTTCATCAGGAAGACTATCGAGCCAGTAACTATCAAAATTTTTCAAGCATATTTGAGCTAATGAGGCTGAATTTGGCACATCAGCCGGTACAGTCTGATTGGGTTGTTCATTTTGAACAGCTTCATCAACTTCATTTGGCTTTTCATCAACTGGATCATCTTCACCAACATCAATCGGTTCTGTTTTAACCCGATTTAAGTCAAAGCCTGGTTCACAACGGACAGTAGTAAGATCTTCAGCTGAGTTTCCTGCTTCATCAAGTTGCCCAATGAAATTAGGATGTACTAATAACTCATTTGGCATTTCTGTATCATCTAGTGTCTCAACATGCAAATCTAAAGGCATATCTTCAATTTCCTTCATTTGTAAAGTTGATTGAGTTTGGTTTGTCATTATGGGTTTATTATTAGGCAAAGGAAATCTTGCATCAATTATTGCACTATTATCAGTCATAAAATTCATATTACAACTTGAAATAGACAAATTTGTAGGTAAAAAAGATTTTTGATGTTTAGCCATGAAGTCTTGAGCAGTTGGTAGTAACTTCATTATTTCAGTGACAGTTTCGTAATTTTTTTCATTGTTTACGAATTTTAGATGGTTGTTACTAGCTAAGTGAAGTTTTAAGTCAGTGTAATGAGATCTGCAGCATTCACAGTAATTATTTTCTTCTTTGGGTTTGGCTTTATTCAGTACTTTTTTATCACCAGGTTTTAAAGCTGGCTTTAATTCATTCCCAGCTTTACCCATCCTCTCACCCCCATTTGTTAAACTAATATGCTGTACCTGTTTTGGTACGACTGGAGTTGTTAATATATTTTCACAGGTATCAAGTCTTACTAACACTGATGCATTTCGAAGAGGCATCAAACGCTCAGTGTCATTGCCAAATACTTTAAAGCAGGGTCGAAATTTCTTGTTTTGACTTTCAAACTTTATGAATGTGCCTTGAAGATTTGACACATTTTGATTCGACTTTTTCTTGGTTGTCAGATGGATAAACTTAAGCTGGGGTTCAATGGAGGCCAAAAAATAGGCGATTCCACAGATAGAGATACGAAACTCTAATGCAAATTTAATCACACGATAGGAATTGTTTACATTGTATCCCTGTGAAGTTGATGGTAAATTATACAAATCACCTTGGTAGCTCGCAGCTGATGCAATTATGTGAGGTACATTAAAGAAACTAGGATCTACAGGTAGATTGTTAGGATAGTACGTATAAGTAGCTAAATGAAAATCGTCTATAAGAATCGTTGTGATATTTTGACTCAAGAATTCGTCCACTTTACCTCCAAGCAATGCAATTTTTTCTTTCACAAGTTTGATGTTCTGCTGGTTAGACCACAAGAAAAATAACTGTCCCTTTAACCATGATTCGGGAGGTATTTTACGAGACGGACACATATTCATTGGACCGGACGCTTTTTGGTACCGTCATTTGATATTAAAGTTCACGAACAAAATCCCAGATATTTATTGTTCATGTTTATAATGAATGTAAACAATATGTTGTAAGATTTTTCAGTCAATATATTAGCACTGCGAAAAAATGCCATCTTCCCAGTTAAGCTTCATATAATTTATACAATAACACCTTAAAAATCACAAATAAAAACCTCAAACTTATCGTTGCACTCAGCATCGTTGCCATTTAATTAAAACAGGTTCTGGAAAATAGCTATGTAAATCCATAAACACAAAAGAAGTTAAGTTGAGATTAAATAAATGCGATTTTAGGCATTTATAATCAAAGCAATCAGCTAGATTCCATATGATAGTGTGGTAAACTTTACTCTACTAAAAAACCAAATGAATAATTTGGATTAATAAATTAAATGAAATTCGCGATTGGATGCTCATGAACGCCATCTGGGGAGAACACCAGTTTCACGTCTAAAGTCCCCACCAAAGTAGCCGGATCACGCTATTCGTCGAAACTGACATCACTACGTGTGGGAAGAGAGATGGTACAGGCAAATAATTCATATTCTTTGGTACAGGGCCGCCTTGAAAGGAGGAGTTATTATTTCAGGGCGTCAGGGCACTCGTTTCATGACATCCCACATTAAGATCCATCTCCGTTCTTCATTTTTTGTTTAGATTTTAGTAGTTTGAATGTTGTTCTAAAGAGATTTAATTGCAAGAGCTGCTAAAAAGGGAATCTTCATTTCAACGAAAATATAATTGTTGAATTTCTATAGTGATAATTTTAAAAGAATATTTATTTAGTTTTTTATCTGAATTTCTCTACACTCCTTCACAGAAATATAACTTTTTCGTTTATCTGCATATTTATAATTCAAAATATGGATCGTAAGCAGAGTAAGAGAAATTAAATTTCAATTCAGTTAAATATTTAACCATTAAATAATCAGATTTTCAAGCAAAACAAATAACCAAATTTCTTTTTAAAAAATAGAACATCAGATAATCTCAAAACTTGGCTTGAAATGAATTACAAGTCCTTTTTTTTTTTTTTTTTTTTTTTAAATTTTCTTCTGCCTAAATTACTTGACATTAGAAATTTTCAGCTATTTTCAAACTTTAGAATTAGAGTATACAAATTATAGCTCGGTATTAAATGTACTAGAATTTAATTTCTTATAATTAAGCATAATATGAATTTAATGCATATTTAATAAAAGCTAACTGCGTTCTGTCCAACATTTTGATTTAAAAAATTTTTTTTTCAATTGATTAAAGAGGGTAAATATTCTTTCTACACTTTACCTATATTAAATCTGAAAAAAAAATAACAAATAGATAAAATTGTGTTTCAGTTGCAATGTTGCTTTTGTATTGAAAATTTGTTGCGAACTATATTTTTAGTGCATAAAAGCTGAACAATCTATTTTTATGATTCAGCTATGATTTATCCAATATATTGTTATTCACTAATATGAAATTTTGAACCTATATAATTGGAATACTTTCAGATAGGAAACTCTTAGAAAAAAATTATTTTAGTTCTTTACAATTTAATGATAGTTAATTTTTATAACTGATTGATATTGTAAAAATATTTCATGTTGTGCATTTAACAAGACTTTTGCTTATCAGTCGTGTTTAAAGCATATAACCTCACCAGGGACCGATCAAGATAAATTCAGGCCCAAGACCCATCAAATTCTCCGGGCCCCTTACAAAATATTTTGAAATTAAATTACTGAAGTTTACATAATATTTTGAGTGATAAGTCCAAACAATAGAAAAGAATCTATTGAACTGCATGATTCAAGAGAAACATTCTAAGAAATTTTGAAAGCAGACAATTGAAAATTATTTTTCTAAGATGACGTTTACGTATCTATAAATTAAAGCAAAATATAAAACAACAAAACAATGTTATGTCAAAATAAAAATAATTTGGTGACCACAAACAATTAAATCAGTGATTTTTGCTAAATGTCACTGATTCTTCCTCTCATTGCTATGACAGCCCAGGATGGGCCTTGGCCTTCTCAACAAGCCTATGCCAAGACATTCTTCCCTCAGTCAAGGTTCTCCAGTTTATTATCCTTAAAACTTGTAGGTCCTTTTCAAGGCAGTCTAGAAATCTTAGGTTTGGCGGTCCTCTTTTTCTTGTACCTGTTGGCCTGGCACCGAAAACTTTTTTGGTTGTCCTGCTATCCTCCATTCTTATAATGTGGCCTGCCCATTTAATCGTTTGAATTTTGATAAATTTAATGACATCAGGTTCCTTATATGCTTTGTAAAGTTCCGTGTTTGATACCGCTTTTACTTATTCCACCAAAAATACTTCGCAGTATTTTTCTCTCAAATCTAGCTATCATATTTTCATCTCCACGGATCACTGTTCAGGTCTCACATGCGTATGTATGCATTGATCGTATATTTATAGAGTAACACTTTTGTTTTTCTTTTTATTAGGCTTGACTTAAGATATTTTCTTAGACCATAAAAACACTTATTGACCATTGTGATTCTCGTGTGTATTTCTTGTGTAGTGTCGCTTTTGTTGTTAATCTTAGACCCCAAATATGTGAAGCTATCAACGGCTTCGAATTTGTGTGCTCCAATTTCAAACTGTGTTTCTTCATAGCCAGCTTTTGTGCAGGGCATATATTTAGTTTTATTTTCATTAATNGAAAACTTTTTTGGTTGTCCTGCTATCCTCCATTCTTATAATGTGGCCTGCCCATTTAATCGTTTGAATTTTGATAAATTTAATGACATCCGGTTCCTTATATGCTTTGTAAAGTTCCGTGTTTGATCTTCTAAACCAGGTACCACTTTTACTTATTCCACCAAAAATACTTCGCAGTATTTTTCTCTCAAATCTAGCTATCATATTTTCATCTCCGAGGATCACTGTCCAGGTCTCACATGCGTATGCATGCATTGATCGTATATTAATAGAGTAACACTTTTGTTTTCCTTTTTATTAGGCTTGACTTAAGATATTTTCTTAGACCATAAAAACACCATCGTGATTCTCATGTGTATTTCTTATGTAGTGTCGTTTTTGTTGTTAATCTTAGACCCCAAATAGTAGAAGCTATCAACGGCTTCGAACTTGTATGCTCCAATTTGAAACTGTGTTTCTTCATAGCCAGCTTTTGTGCAGGGCATATATTTAGTTTTATTTTCATTGATTCTTAATCCCATCTTAATGGCTTTCTTCTCCAGACTGATTAGCTGAATTATATTTTTATTGCAAACTGTAATTATTTTTTATTTAGTACTTAAGGCAACACAATAGCTATCCCACCTTCCATTAAACTTTTTACTAATTTTTGAGGCCCCTAAGAAATTGTGATCTCTAGGCCCATGCCTATTGGGCCTTGTCGATTATCACGCTTTAATGCAAACTTATGTTTAAATATAAGTTTGTATTAGTAGATAAGTTTGTATAAGTTTGTATTGTAGAGAGAGAGAGAAAAATAAAACAAAAAATGGACTTAAAAAATAAAGATTTAAATAGTAAAACTGAAAATAATTTAAGATAATGAAAAAAATTCCCAACTTCAGGAAATTTTAGAAGGTTTTTCAGATATTTTTGCTTAAGATATATGTGATATAGAGACAATAAGAATTGAATCTCAAAAGGTAATATTAACATCAGACTTACCAGTGTCATTTTTTTTCCCATTGAAATAAAAAACACTGAAGTCCTAAACTTCAGAATTATGACGACTGTGTCATTTTTTATTTTATTTTGTTTTCAAACAAGGTAAACAATACTGACTGATATAATCGTGTGAGCTGATCAAAAGATTATATCTTTTATTTTCCGGATTTTTATTAATTTTTTCCCCCTCCGGTTTCTTTTTATTATTATTTTCTCCCCCCCTCTTTTTTCATTGTTCTGTAATTTTTTTCATGTTTTCTCTGGGGCTACCGAAGCGGGGGTGCCACCCCCTCCGCAGAGGATCAAAATTGTGGTGGCATGTCTTCGGATCATCCTCCGGGATGTTTCCCAGACCGTCGCCAATAGCCCATTGTGCAGCTCTAGTGCGACGTAAATTAACTACAACTACAACAACATGTTTTCTCTGCATTTTGAACTTATTTTATGAGTTCTATTTACTTGCAGCTTATGCACTATGAATAAAACTTATTGTTTTACTTAATTTTCTTCGTGTTATTTTGTATTTATTTATTATGCTGTATGTATATAACACATTTTAAATAAGTTTCAGAAGAAATTGCTTAGCATTCTTATGAAAAATTTTAATATTCTAAATCTAGAATTATCCTCGTCATCCCAATTAATACAAATTATCATACCCACCATTGTTTTAATATGCGACATTTCTTTTTTACACATCAATATTAGAAATTGATAAAGAATATTTGAACCGAATTATTGAAAGCAAGGATGTACAATCTATATCGCCCACGTCATGAAGTAAAGTTATTTTTTATAATTTTATATATGATTTAAAATGATGTCTCTAGGATGCTGCCATGGAAATGGATTCTGCTAGGCGCTCTATGGGCTATTTTGCTCATGAATCATATTGCCAGGAATTCATCGATCTTCTTTATAATCGTAATCGATAAAATAAAATCAGGAATGCTATAATTCTTGTGAGTTAGATAAAAGTGTATTATTTCAAATTAGTGAAGAAAGTGAATTCGTGAACGTGTTGTTGCGGTATTTTGCTCCTGTGTTAATAGTTTCGTTATTGAATAAAATAATACATATATTTTTTTAAGTAAAGAATTGGATCATAAAAGAAGTTTTTTCTTCACATAAGAATGGCTGATAATGAGCAAAAAGCTATGCAACTGGTTGCAGATGCTGAAAAAAAATTGAAATCTGCACAAGGATTTCTAGGCAGTCTGTTTCGGTGAGAGGAAATAAATATTTTGATATCGAGTTAATTCTTTTTAATATTATTCAATCGCTCTTCTACTTTTTAAATCAATAGTTACTTAATATTTTCTTCTATGGCAAAGAAGCTTATTATTGTTTTAGTATTGTTTTAGTGCGACGTTAACTGTCAAATCAATGGCTAATTATTTTAAATTATTTTGCTCTCCTTTTTCTATTTAGATCGTCTTCCAAAGTTGAAGAGGCTTGTGAAATGTATACAAAAGCTGCTAATATGTTTAAGATGGCGAAGAAATGGAGTGGTAGGTTTTTCGTAGATGTTACTTTTATTTTAAATTTTGTGATTTATTTCTAATAAATTTTGACTGCTTGAATTTCACAGTGATAAGATTATCAATTATTTTCTGAACTTAAGCGAACTATCTGAACTGCAATCTGCTTAAGGCTTAATCGATAGCTATGACATGAAAATGGAATGCAAAATGTGTGTGTGTGTTTTAATTTTTACATATAATAAGCAGAAACTTATTTTTTCAAATATATCAATTATTTCAAAAATTAGATTTGACATAGGTGCATTTAGCTACATTGCAATTACAGTTTAACAGAAATATTATTAATTTGAGTTTCGTCAACTCTTTTAAAATCAATAATTTTGTATAATTATATATTTCTTGCACTGACTTGACTGATGGAAACCTGTAATTGCTCTAACTATAGGTGGGTGTGGCCATCAATTTGTGTAGAGTGATTAATTATTTATCATTTAATCTATGCCAGTGTTTTCATCATAGAAAAAAAATGGGTGAGAGTTCCTCACCCTTGCAGAAAGCAGGGTGAGATTTTAAAAAGTTAAGTGAGATTTCTAAAAACTAAAAAAACACAAAAACTCTTTAAAAAAATTATTTCCTTAATTATAATAAATTTTTAACGTCTTCTATTTTTTAAAGCATTGAATATTTTTGGTGCATCATCATAGAAGATTTTGCCTTTACAAGGTATTTGTCCATCTTACATAAGTGCATAAAAAATTTGAACGTCTTACATGAAGAAACCTTACCTACGGTGAACATGTGATTGTGGAGAAATGTGCTCTGAAAGGGGTTCCGTGGTTGTGTTCTGTTGTTGGAAAAGGTTCTAAACAATACTGGTAAATAGGGAAGCTAGATAATGGGGCAGATGATGAAAATAATGAAAGATCTAGGAAGAAAAGTGAAACAGATTTTTTTCTAAATGGCGTAATTCGAAGCTTTTTCCAAAATGCCAGAAATTCGCGAATTTTGAAATTGATTTATAGAATGCGCGAATTTCTCGCGGTAATCATTTTTTAATGCGAGAAAAGAAAAAAATATGCGAGATTCTCGCGTTCTCACGCTGTAGTGAAAACACTGTATGCTATGCTATAATCTATGCATCAGACTAAAATGATCCATATCTAAAATTGCTGGGTATAAATTAATTGCTCCTTTCTGTATTTGTCTTGTTTTATTCTAATGATTGTATATGCTTCTGGTTTTTAAACATATTTTAATTTATATTATACTAGAAAGTTTTCTTTCTTACTTTCCTTCTGTATTTGTCTTGTCGTTTTTTCCATTGCTTTATGCTTCTGTACTTTATTGTATTGTATAACATATTTTTCTATTTATTCTTGTATTTTTCTGGACCTGGGCAAAACTTTTGGGGTACAGAGGAAGCAAATTCAAATAAGCTTTTAAATAATTCAAATAAGTCTTAGCTTTTCTCGATAGAAAAAGTTTTGCATTTTATGACAATTCAAGGCTGATGATGTCAGCTTTGATTGTCATGTTTTTTCTAATTTTTTACTAATTTTTCTTCAATGTCTCATTTGAAAAAGTTTACTTTTTCTTTAACTTATCAGCTTACTTATACACTAGTTTTTTTAAAAGTAATACTGTATAAAATTTAAATAAAATAATAAAATTTTTTAGCAACATAAAAATTTTAGTGTTGAATTTTGCTGTATACATGTTAGAGGTACGACTTGATAAATGTAAAAATAATATCTTGTCTAGATTTTTAAAGAGAAGACCTGAAGAGTAGAAGAAAAGTTTACTCGACTTCTGATTTTTGTAAGATTTTAATTTTAATCCGATTTTAGCTGCAATCTGAAAAAAATTGGATAACTTGGTAACGAAATTTGGCATTTCAGGACAGCGCAAAAAAATTGTGTGTGTTTTTTTTATTTTTACGTCTCACATAAAAGGACTATTACTGCTAAGAATCATGCACTTAATTTTCGAGTGTTAAAAAATTTAACGTTTTGAAAAAATTGCGGATTTGAGTTAAAATTATCAACTCAAAAGCGGATCATTAATCGATTATTCAAAAGCGTGATTTGGAATTTGCGAATTGTAATAATATTAAATTAAAAATGAAATCCCAAACTGTTGAGGTGAAGATTGATAAAACCACACCAGAAATAAAAATCGACTAATCAAAAAGTAATTCTACAAATGCGTGATTCGAAATTTCCCGTGTATGATAATGTAGCATGAAGAAAACTAAAAATTGGTTACAATTACTGATTAAAATGCGATCATAAATCCAGGTGAGATTGCGGGTGAATCGTCATTAATTAAGTGCATAATGCGCAATTCAAAGTTTGTCGGCTGAAATAATATAGTATTAAAGCATTCAGATTTTAAGAATGAAGTGAAAATCGCCTTTAATAGCTCTTGAAAAAATGATCAGCAAAACCATGCAGATTCACTGTGGAATTGTTGCTAATCGAGTAGCTTGAAAAATGATTACTAACTGAAATGTGCAATTCGAAATTTGCATTGAGATTTAAAAAATATTGTTTTAATCTGTAACAAAATCTTCAGAAATAGCGCAACCATGTAAACCATGTGGATTTATTCTTTGTTGATTGAAATTGACGTTAATTACCGTCTATTTGTTACCTTTTAATGAATTGGGATGTTTTGATGTTTATTTACCTTAAAAACCTATTATCCAGAAAAATCTATTTTCCAAACTTTCTGAAGTCCCGACGATTCCGGATATGGGACTTTCCACTGCATTTAAAATTAATTAGTTATTTTCTACTAGGAATTTTGTAAATTAGGTATTTTTTTTCTTCTGAGTTATTAGTCTTTGAACTAAAATGTTTCTCCTTCTAGCTTTTAATTAACTACTTAACAATTTTTAAATTTTTAGAAATTCAAAATGTTCTGGCCATACTGAATATTTAGGTATATTATTGAAATTTTAAGTCATAAGATGTTCAATAAATGAATAATCAGTTTTATTCAAAGTGACTAAAATAATGCTATTTCTTTCAACCAAAACATAGAATGCTTCTGAAGTAGAATGCTCCTTTGTTTACATTGTGTGATTTCCCTAGCTTTTATGCAACTGCTTTTCTATTGTTTTTAAAACCTTAAAATTCTTTGGCCACACTGTATATTTAGGTATAATCAAACTTTAAGTAATAAGCTATTCAATAAACACATAATCAGTGTTATACTAAGTGAGTTAAATGTTGAGATTTCTTTAAACCAAAAAATGAATTTGTCTTTTAAATAATTACGGTTGTTTTACCTAAGGTTTTATTTGTTGTAAAAAAGTAAAAAAATATAAGAATTCGAGTTATAACATGTAATATGAAAAAATATAATAATAAAAATAATGTAAAGATTAATACAAAAAATATTAAGTAAATATATTAATAAAAGTTTGGGAATTATAGTAAAGTTTATTAGTTTTAAAATAGCAGATTGATTTTGAATTAATATATTAGAATTAATCTGCTTACAATCCTTTCTTTAAAATTAATTATAAAGATGAATTAATTTACAATAAATTTATGTGTTTAAATTATATTTAGCTGCTGGAAGTGCTTTTTCGGAAGCTGCATCTCTACGTTTAAAAATGGATAACCGACATGATGGCGCAGCATTATTGATTGATGCTGGTAATTGTTACAAGAAAACAGATCCTCATGGTAAAGTTATAAGTTCATTCATTTTCTTACTATTATGTGTTTATATTCAGGGTTGGCCAGTTTTGTGTGTTTTTTACCACGGATAAAACAGTCATCCCAAAAATTATGTGTAAAATCCTATACCCACAAACTGCCAAATATCGAACAAATTGCATTTATGTATTGGTAGAAGTATTATTGTTCATATTTAAATAACCCGTTCCAGGTACTGTAAAACAATCATCTTATACAACTTAAGTTCAAGGCTGTCAGTAGGTCCCTATTTTCTTAAATGGTATCTTTTTTTTTTTTTNGGAAACTACTTTCTTCATATTTTTTTTTTTTTTTTTTAAGTTGGTTTTTTTGCTGTTTTGTTAGGACTCTAATGGCAGAAGTCCTCCGGCACTGCAGATTATCAGCAGATTGTTTTTCTGCATCTTGCATCTGCAGATTATTTTTCATATTAGANAATAAATTTATGTGTTTAAATTATATTTAGCTGCTGGAAGTGCTTTTTCGGAAGCTGCATCTCTACGTTTAAAAATGGATAACCGACATGATGGCGCAGCATTATTGATTGATGCTGGTAATTGTTACAAGAAAACAGATCCTCATGGTAAAGTTATAAGTTCATTCATTTTCTTACTATTATGTGTTTATATTTGGGGTTGGCCAGTTTTGTGTGTTTTTTACCACGGATAAAACAGTCATCCCAAAAATCCTGTGTAAAAACCTATACCCAGAAACAGCCAAAATTCCAACAAATTGTATTTATGTATTGGTAGAAGTATTATTATTCATATTTAAATAGCCCATTCCAGGTACTGTAAAACACTGATCTTATACAACTTAAGTTCAAGGCTGTTAATAGGTTCCTATTTTCCTAAATGGTATATATATATTTTTTTAAGTTGGCTCCTAAATGTCCCTTTTATCATTTTTTTGCTGTTTTGTTAGGACTCCAATAGCAGAAGTCCTCCAGCACTGCAGTGGGTACTGCAGATTATTTTTCTTCATCTGCAGATTATTTTTCATATTAGATTTTAAAAAAAATTGTCACAGCACCTGAAGATAATTTTTCAATTCAGAACTCAGATTTCAAAAACAAACTTAAAATATTACTATATTAAAAATATTAAAGGTAAAAAGATAAATAATTTATAATTCCTAGACTTACTCATTTACTATTTGTCTTAGGACTTTGTTTATCAATATATAAGCAAAAAAAAAGTGATGATTTTTAAAAGAAAAAATTAAATGATAAGAAAAATGTAAAAAATAAATTTTTAAGTGCCATTAATTGCAGTTGCTTGTTTATAGTATAAGGACTTATTCCTTTCTTTAAATTTAAATTGTTCCATTCATTTTAAATTGTATAAATATTTTTAATTGCAACAACAAATGACAAACATTTACTTTTGCTAACTTTGCTGTAAACATGTAAAATTAAGCCAAATTTTTTGAATAATATTCTCTGTCCAACTGTGTAAGCGTCGCAGGAAAACTTTTATTTATTAAGATTATGTTGCAGATTGACTCTATAAATTATTCGTTGTAAACCAGGTTAATGACTCTGTATGATGTTTGCATTCTAAGTGAAATAATAGAGGCATTCTCAATTCAATGATGCTGTTTGTCAAAAAAAAATATTTTTTTTCTATTCATGTGTATTTATAATAAATAATATGAAATTTTTTGTAAGAATTTTTATTTTTTACAGAGGCAGTCAAATGTATAACTAAGGCTATCGAATATTACACAGATGCAGTAAGTCAGCTTTTTTAAGAATATTTACTTAAACATAATAATAATAATAATTTTTTTTATTGAAAAAGTTTCTTTTATAGGGTCGATTTACAGTTGCTGCTAAGCATCATATGACTGTTGCTGAGATTTATGAAACTGAAATGGCTGATGTTGAGAAAGTAAGAAAAAAGATTGCTCATACATTTGACTCTGAAACCTGCGCAACTTGGAACTTATTTGTTTAAAATTTTCTTTTTGAATTTATCTTAAAATTATATCAATATTAAATATACAGTAGAACCTCAATTTAATGGCTGCGCTCATCAGACCTTACAAAAACATGGTAACTAACAAACTGAATGTCGCTATGTCATGGTCATGAAAATTCCCATATAAACTGAAATTTAAATGCCTACAACTGTATTTTTATTTTGTTAAACAATTAATGTAATTAAAAATAGTTAGATTTAATTTATTTAGTGAAGAAGAAAAACGTAATTATTTTAGCGGAAAAAAAATCCTACATTTTTGTTTATCTTTTTTTGTTTTGAAGTACACAATGAATTTTTCAAAAATTCCAAGTAGTCCATTTCTTTTTCTTGTTCTAAAAGTTCTTGGAAGTAAAGTTTCTGTTCATATTGCTTCATTGAATCATGATGGGGGATCTGCGTGAAGATTCACAGTCGTCTTCATCACTACTAGATTCTATAATTTCAGCTATTGAAATTGCCTCCAGTTCGTTACCTTTCCATCAGGTCGTTATAACATAGAGAATATTCCATAAAGAATTCTGTTCTGAAATGCTATCGGTATTCTCCTCGGATGGAATTGATGTAAAACTACTTTTTATGGAACCAGGTGGGTGTTTATTTTTCTCTTTTTGTAGGATGCTCTAAATAATGGGATTTTATTGCATTATTGGTATATAAAATAGAAAGGGATCAGGCTGAAAACAGGTATGTAAAAAGCGGGAAATCATTATTCACCGATGACGTTAAATCCAAGTTCTACTGTAAGTTAAAATTTTTCATTAAATCATTTAATTTATTTTTACATAGCTGCCAACTCTTCTGTATATTGCGTAAAGTTACTGCATTTTCCTCCGCTTTTCACTTTGGGAATAAAATCTTTCACATTCAGGAAATTGGTCCATGAAATTTTTCTTTCCCATTTTGTAATTGCTAGTAAGAAAAATATCACAATAATAGTATTGTACTTAAAAGAAAATAATCAGGATATTAAAACCGTGAACAAGTAACAAATCCAAGACATTGTCTCGTCAGGGAAATGGTCGACTAGACTACATTTGGACTTGTGAGAGAATTAGAACAACTAAGCGTGTAAAGACTCACCTGGATTTAAAATGGAGTCATTGTCATTTGGATTTCAAATAAAAAATTACGGGATTTTAAAAATTGCTTGGAAATTGTTAAGAAAAAACTATCAAAAACGCGAGAATTTTATGGTAAAAAAAAAAAAAAAAACAAATTGTGCTATTTGAAGTTTGTATGTTATCGTAAAATCGGATTAAAAAAAATTGAGATTTTAAAAACTTAATAGAAATCGATTGTAATAATTACCAAAAAAATGTTAGACAAGACTGTGTGCAATATATATATGTGTCAGTCAAATGTTTTAAAAATTGATTGTTGAATTGAAAATTCGTGTCTGTCGTAATAACATAGTACAGTACAGAACCCGTTATCCGGAAATCGGAAAACCAAAAAGCCGGAACAAAATTCAATAAATTTTCCCTCCATTTTTTAAAATTTTTTTTTTTTTTTCTCATAAGATTTTAGAATTTTTCTTTCTTTTTTGAAAGATGTTTACCTTAACATCATTTTGGAAATAATCATTAGTGTATTACTTCATCGTTTTTTCTTCTTTTTAAGATTATTTCCAAANTGCACGTTAAATCTGTCGAGTCTCAAAGTCCTCCATGTTCCCACAAACCAGTCATACCTCTGGGGGTACTGATCCAGGAGTTTCCTTGTCTTCTGGATTGGTTCAAAATTACAAGGCTGCGGAATTGAACATTGGTAGTCGTAAACCCAAAAATTGAGTCGACTGCTCAGCGACGGTTACAAAATAAAATACAAAAATTTTTTTTATACCCCTATGCCTTTTAATTTACTTATTTTAATTAGCTTCTTCATTTTGAAAATTACTTACTATTTGAGGATTGCAATTTGTTAGCATCTCATTTTTTTAAGAAAAATTATGCCTAGTTCAAAAATGCTTTATTTTATGCGCATTGAGTTTTTGGGGCTATAAAAATGTGTTTAAATTTGTTAAAATTATTGCATAGCTTAAAAATGCTTAATTTTATGCATGTGAAGTTTTTTAGTTCTATTTTAAACAGTATGGACTGTAATAGGGGCCCAAAACATTTCTGTGCCCGGGGGCCCTGCTTGTTATTAAGACGGCCCTGATCGGTTGTAATAATTACCAAAAAAATGTTAGACAAGACTGTGTGCAATGCAAATATGCGTCAATCAAGTGTATCAAAAATTGATTGTTGAAATGAAAATTCGTGTGTGTCGCAATAACATAGTATCGAAAATAACGGTATTTTGAAAATCATGAAGAAATTGTAACAATAACTGCTGAGAAACAAAAGACAAACCAAGTAAAATGCTCTGTGGTAGAATTGGCCACAGGGTATCAGTTCTAAAATGAGTGTCACAATAAAATTGAAGAAAAATTAATGACTTTAAAAGCCATGTATATCCAAAAGTGATTATACAAATGCACAGTTAAAAATTCATGTTTCGCAATAAAGACAATACAATAAAATCACAAAAAATTTTATCAACTTTATTGAAATCAATAGCAACAACTTCTGAAAAAAAGATAAGAAAATCACTTTTCTGACAATTAGAAATTCATGCATAATAATACTGTTTTAAAAGATCAGCATTTTAAAGAAAAACTTGTATTTATGCTGGAATTGGTTAAATTTGAAATTTGGGTATAATAATATAAAGTAAAAAAATCGTGATTTTTGAAAAAACAAACTTTATTATGTATTTACTTCGGAATAGGCTCAATTAGCAATTCAATTAGTGGTAATAAAGTTGTGTTCGATTTAATTTTACTACATTTTACCAACATAAGCCGTTTTAAATCAAAAAACGGCTTATTTTATTGATTATTTTATTGATTATTTTATTGAATATTTTATTGAATATTTTATTGATAAATAGAAAAATGATAAAAGAATATTATTTTCAAATCAAACAAACTTTAAAAGGTATGCAATTCTTTTGTTTTTGGGATTTTTTGTAAAATTTTATATTAGATGATTAAGCAAATTGTTTGACGTGATCATGGTTTGGGTTATCTTTCATAATAAAATTAAGGTAAATTCATTTTCAAACAGTCATTTTATGTTAAAATAAAATTGCAAAATGTATTGTAGATATTTCATGATTTAATATTTCAATTTATAAATACTATAAATTTTAAAAATGGATTTGAACTTCATAAAATAAATCTTCTGTATTTTAAGTGATTTCTTCTGAAATTTTGTAGTGAATCTTCCGCAATCTAAAAAATTGGTACTGGCAGGTATTTTTTCATTTTTTTCATTCATAAATATTATTTTAGTATGTTTCTAATGTTTAAATTTATTTTCTAGAATTTTTAACTCTTTACTTCAAAATGTATCTAAACTTTTGAACAAAAACCAAATCTATTTCTCAGCCCACCAATAATAAAGTTTTAAAATGTTGATAAAAAATAATTTATTTTTTGAAATGCTTCATCGCCACTGTAATGTTTGAAAATCAATTCTCATCAAACAAACACTCTTTTCTGCTTTGGATTACCAGTTTAAAATTTTCATTATGACTAGATCTTTTGTTACATCCTCTAACCATCTCTTTTTGGTTTTCTTTTGGGTGTTAAGTTCATTGGTTTTCTACTTAAAATTTTTCTTATTTTTATTCATTCATTCTTTCTGTATGGTTCAGGCATGTCAAGCATCTCGATTTTATGAATTGAATAATATCTTATTGTTTAATTTGAAAGTCAAGTTCAGTCTTGTTTCTAATTCCCCATTGTGAATTGCTTATTTGAATTAAAATTCTATTTAAAATTTTCTTTCAAGTATTAATAAGTTATTTTCATATTTATTTGTCCAAGTTTTACTACTATAAGTCATTTTATGCCTGATGAATGGTTTTATGATGATGAATGGTTTTATGAATTTTTAATTTAGTTTTTGTTCTAATGAGCAATTTTTTTCCTTTTGAATTTATATGATCTTTTATTTCTTTTCTGTGTTCTCGAATTAATAGATTTTCCCTTCAGAAATGTAAATTTGCAGTCGAACTTTTATAATCAAATAATCTTTCCCGGAGAAATTAAATACGTGTGGAAATGAATTTTATTTTGTTATTTTTTAACAGACTTAGTTGAAAATTCCTCTAAGAAAATCAATTGTTTATTTATAAGTTGTTTTTATCTAGCTTTATTATTTTTATAAATTTTGTTTACAATGCTTCGTTTTCAAAATTAATCTTAATAATATGTAAGATTCATATGTATATGTATATTTTTGTGTGTCTTTTTTTCTCCTTCTATAGGCTATGCAACATTATGAGCAAGCTGCTGATTATTTCAGAGGAGAAGAATCAAACAGGTATATATTTTAAATTTCATTATTAATTTAGTAAAATGTAAAAGACTCAAGGGAAAAAAAAACTATACAATTTCTCTGTGCTAACTTATGTGATCAAAAGAAAGAGATTTTGCAAAAACCCCTAAGTTAAGAACCCTAATGTAATGCGTGGAAAGAACAATAATTTACTACGATTTTACTATACGAATGGAAATATTTCAGATGAATTAGCACTGAAGCTAAATGATTTTGTGAAAATTCGTCCTAAGATCAAATTTGTTCAATTACTTAAGAGAATTATGTAACATTGTCCTAAGGTTATTTTTAGTAATATGCATATGAGCAACAAAATATTTATAAATTAAAAAGGGAAAACGGCCTTTTTCATGGCCAAATGTACGTTAAATGGGTGGAAGTGAGACATTAGTTTCTATCAGTAGAAGTGATTTAACAAAAATGAATTTAGCAAATTAGGATTTTCTATATTATTAAAATTATTTTGTTATAGTTGCTAACATGTTTTTAAAAATGAGTTTTTATTTATGTGATATTTTTTTGCTCATAAAATAAAAACATCAGTGAAAGTATTACATAAATATTTTAGTGAAAAAGTAAATTTTTCAGTACTGCATAATAAGCAATTTTCATTGATTTGTACTCCTGTAAGAAATGGCTCTAAACTTTAAAATAAAATAACATCTATAAATTAATATGAAAATAAATTAATATATATATATATCTATAAAAACAGTTAATAACCATGTATATATTTATTTTTTAGCTATATTTAAATAATTGTTTTAAATTAACATTATATTAAAGCTTAAAAGAATTTCATAAAATGTTCCCTTTTTCCTAGCAATTTTTATGGAGTAAAAAGTTAATACGTGTCTATTCTATAAGCTATAACAACTGCTATAAACAACATCATATTGAGTTAAAATCTTCATCAGTAGCTTTATGACTCAATGAGTCATGATTTATAAGTCAAGTAAACAAAACAGACAAACAATGCCATTTGCTTCAACCCAAACCGAATCATTCCTCGTACATCCACTCCACCTTCATCCAAAATTTTCATTTGATGTTTTTTTTTTAAATCTACATATTTCTATTAATTTTTCTTTTAATAATAGTGGTTGAAATATTCTATATTTTATCTTTTATACAACTTAAAAATCTTACGTCTGTTCATTTTATTGTTATTTAATTTTACTATTGCAATTAAAAAATAACTTAAATTGAACATAACTAGGAATTTTTATAAGATTTGCAGCTTTTTAAACTTTTTTTGTTACTGCTCCTAATGTTTTTGTAAATTTATTTTTAAGTATCCAAGTTCTTGTTTATGTTTTATTTATAGAATGTATATTCAAATGTTATTATTTAAAGCTTAATCCATTACTAAATGTACTTAATAAATATATTCATGTGTTATTATTTAATGCTTATTACATTACTAAATGTACTTAATAAATAGAAAACCTATTTTCCCTATTTTGCTTTCATCCAACAAAATTTAAATTCATTGAAAACACAAATATTTATTCTATTCAATAATCTGTGGACAATCATTAAAAAAAAGTTATTAAACTTTTAAATGTACTTTTTAAAGTGTAAATACTCCAAGTATGAAAATTTACATCATGCACAAAATATTTTCTATTTTTGGTAAAATCTTTCAAATTTGAACTTCAATCTTACGATAATTCCTACTCTTTAAGGTTGGCAGATATGTTTTCTGTTTCCCTGGAATCAAATGTTAATGATCTTAATTTTATTTATTTATTTATTTATTTTGGTGACGGATTTGTGTTAAAAAAGTTAAGTTTACTTGCACCTGGTTAACTGAAAAGTTCCTGTTTAAATTCAAATAATTGACCTAAAAAATCTAAAAATGACAGTGATATTATGCTTTTGTATGCTTTTTCACCACATATTGACAACTTTTTGAGTTATGAATGCCTGTTTCACGTTGTCTTTCTGAAAAAGAATAATAATTATGGTAATTTTAAAAAAATGGATAGGGTGCAATTTGGTTGAATTTTTTTAGGTTTTTCAAGTTGAAACAAATTATGAATTTTGCATCAAGGTTCCATTTATTTGTTTATACAGCATATAAATTTTAATTTATTTATTTTACAAATAAAATATTGTAGATTGTAAGTTCACTTAAATTATATTCATGCATTTAAGACCAAAGTTTCAATTAATATATGTTTGTTACAGTTCAGCAAACAAGTGTATGCTGAATGTTGCCAAGTATGCAGCCCAGCTTGAACAGTATGAAAAAGCTATTAGTATTTATGAACAGGTAATTTGAGTGTTAGATAATTTATAAGATGTTCTTTACATTTTTAGTTGTGCTTTGAAACTTCTCTAAATAGTAACTTTGTTAACTGCTGCAGTGTAAGGGAATTGGATGTCCATTCTTTTCCAATGTCTCAAAGTTCACTGGCAGCTTTTCTTTATTTTTATTTCTATATAAATAAAAAATTTTATGTTTTATTCTTTGTCCATGTCTCAAAGTTCATGGGCAGAAATAGTCCCTTTTTTTTATACTTGTATGTAAGTAATTGCTACAGAATTTAGTATTTTATTTGTTCTGTCTCTAAATTTGCTGGCAGAAATAGCTCTTCTTTATTTATATTTGTTTGTAAATAATTTATAACGGATTTTGTATTCCATTCTTTGTGCATGTCTCAAAGTTCACTGGTATTTTGATTAATTGACATATTAAACAGGTATAAATCAGATCTTCAGTTATAGCTTTTTCAAAAAGGATCAAATAATATTTTAGCGTCTATATATGTTTCACTAACATTGATTTATTTTTATGTAACTTTAAATGGCATTTATATTTTATGATACTAACACAGACAGTTTTAATTATAAATGTTTACTGATCATAAAACTGAGTTTATTTAATCAAAACACGATACTATGCATTATAATTAAATAATATTAAAAAGTAAACATTTTGCAAAAATTTAGAACATATTGAATATTGCACTCCCCTTTTAATTGAAGAACCTACTTAATTGCATAGATTTGACTGAAACAGACGGTATTCCTTTAAGCGTTGTTGACCTTAAAAATTTTACTTTTAACAAATTTCGATTTGAGTATACGGAAAATCTACCTTTGTGAAGTAAAAATTAGGGGTTAACTTACATCAGGTCGATTTTTACTTACAAAATATTGTAATGTTAAAAACATGTTCTTAAAGTTAATAATAAAATTATTTTTACTTGACAGCGTTATGGTTATTTATGTATAATTAAAATCTTATTTTTTATGATGAATATGTTGAGGTTATAGCTTGGAATGATGTTTGATTCTGTTTTAAAAAATCATTGTGTTATAGGTAAATTATTCAGTGTGTAAAATATAATGTTTTGCATATTAATAGCTCCATATCCATATTTTGCAGCATCCATATTTTGCAATGGCTAATTCTTTTGAAGTACCCTGAAAGAGAAATTTCTCTGTGTATTTGAAAATATAAATATATTTTTAAAAATATTTCTTGTTTTATACTATTATTTGTAACAATAATATTATGCTTTTTAGATTTTTGTTGTGTTTTGAAAGAAATGTAATTACATCTGTGCTGCTTGATTTTCTTCTATCTTGTACCGATTTCTTCTTGTGTTTCTTTTTTTTCTTTCTTAATGTTACAATTGTTATTTTTTAAAATTATTTTTCTTATTACTTATTTAATGAATTTAACTGACATTGAAAAAAAAATTTTAAAGTTTATTTAAAAAACTATTTCATCAGTAAGGTCAAAAAAATATTATTTTAACTTTATCACTTTTAAATATACTTTTCAATTTTGTTTTGATTTAAATCATGTTTGATCAATCATGTTTTGATTTAGATTTTCTAAAATTTTTTCTCAAATATTTCAGAGTAAGATTTTAAATTTGTATCATTATTTTTTTTATGATGTATTTTTTTAAAATAAATTATTCAAAATAACATGATGAATTAAATATGTATATTTTTTTTTTAAAAACAAGATTATTTTTTAAGTGATTCAAGTTCTTAGTATCAAAAGTAATTTCATGTTATAAATCATTTATTTATTTCATTACTTGCTTAGAAAGATTTATTATAAAACTTTAATACAAAATATAATATTTAATAATTTTAAGGGGTCTCAGGATCCTAGATATAGATAAAAGGTATATGTAAACAGGAATAATTTAAAGTTCTTGCAACTTCTAGACAAAAATAAACAGCATTCTGATTTTTGAACTCATAAAAATATTGTAAAGCAATCATTTTACACATAACAAAACAGCATATAAGAAATGTTTCTTGCAATTTGTTAATAAACTGTTCATTTTGAAATGTAAAAAATCTTTGTCCATGATTTTTCTAACATTATATGCTATGCTAACTTAAAACTTTTTCTAGGGCATATACTATTCCCTTCAATAACTTATATATAAATTTAAATAATACAGTGCCCATCTCTTATGAAAATTACATCCGTTCTGAGAATATTTGATTTTATAGGGTGACTGTGTTTTCATACCAAAATCTCTGCACTTAGGAAAAATGTTTTCCAAATTAGGCTTTAAAAATGCACCAAAAACTAATTTTATTTTTACTAAATCTTATGTTCTAAACCCATGCTATAATAAATTTATGCTATAAATCAATGCTTTTTGTCTTATAAATAAGAGTTAGTGTTCAATTCTAACTCAAAATACATTTTCAAATGTAAACTTTTTAAAATTTAGTACTTACTTAAAGAATTATTAATAAATACACTACAGCTAATGAAGTGTTTTTTAAAAATTAACTACTAATTATACTTACTAGTTAACTTTTAGCTTAATTCTAAGAGAGTATAAACCCAATGTAACTCAGTATAATGAATAAAAATGTTGTTAAAACGCATAGGTGTGCCTTTGGGGCGAGTTAGGTGGTCCTTGGCCAAGCCAAATGTATTTTTTAAAAACTTTAAAAAAACCAAAACAAGTTGAATAGTTGCTAAGAGTGTTTGCATTTCCAAATAAAATGTTATGTCATTAACAAATTCCTTTACTTATCCTTCATTTTTATAAATTTTATCTTTTCTCTAGTTTAAATTAAAAGTGCCATGAAGCTCCAGTGTAATAACTAAATCATTGAAAAATATGTCTTTATGTAAAATATGAAAAATATGAAGTAATTTATGTCTTTAAAAAGAAATATTTAATTTACCTTCTGTAAGAGACTGTTTAAATATTATATAATCATGTTTTTGGCAATTTTGTATCATTTTCCTCTTTGAGCAAAAATAATCAAAATTACGAAACCTATCACAGACTTACGTAAGAAAATCTCTTCCTTGTCTTTTATAGTAATCTAATTTTAAGAGTTATTGAATTAAATTTTAATTAAAGATTTAAATTTGTGAAAATTAAAATTTACATTTTAATATAATTTAAATAATTTTGAAAGTTCTTATTGATATTGTTCCAACCTTTTTTCCCTCCAAAGTTGAACTTTTATTTCAAATTTAATCGCATTTTTTTTTGTTATTTATTTTTTTGACATTAAAAAATTAATAAACAAAGGGATTTTAGCATCATACATTAGCTCATACCCTTTTATTCCAGAAGGCTTGTTTATTTTTTAAAATAAGCATTAGTAAAATACTTTTGTATAAAAGTGAAAAAACATGTTTCATTTTAGCATTTTTGCTGAGCGTTTGTGAAAAATGCTACTTCAGCTGAAATCATGCATTGAATGATGATAGGCATTCGATAACTTTTCTTAATTCATACACAGCTTTGATTTGGATTTTTTAATGGTCCTTGTTTCATAATTTTTTAATTCTCACTTTTCAGTTTTCCTAAGATTTATAATATGAACTTGTAACTCTGTTCTTTTTGTTCTTAGGGGCATAATAATAAAATGTATTATCTATGAGCTTTTAAAATTTGAGAAAATAGAAGAAAGAAAAAGAAAGAAAATTTTTAATTATTTTAAACGTGTGCCCTAAAAAGTGATTTTTAAGTGGTGATCATTATTTTATAAAATGATGATAGCATGTCATGATATTGTAATGCTTCTTTCAGAGTTGATTTTAAAAAGCCGCTGATTTTATTATACAGTGATTTTGATTGTTGTGGTCTCTGTGCTTGTTTCAAATAATTTTAAAATAGTTTCTACAAATTTAAAAAAAAAAAATATTAATTTTAAAGTTTTATTTTTAAATAGTACGGAACTCTTAAATTGTGTTATAAAATTGTGTATAGCTCATAGTTATTACTTTTACACAAAATTTGGGACCTGTAATTGGGAAACTGTTAATAAATTAGACACTTTACTGGATTGGATAGGTTTTTAGATCAATTTTTTTGTTCATATGTAAGACTTCTATTTAATTTTATTTAGAAGTTGTAGTAGCTTCAAATGTTTCGTGCGTGCGTATGCCTTTTGTTTGTTTCGAGCCTCAGACCCTTTTGTGCAAACTTATATTTAACTCTGGTTTATTAAAACAAAAGTTTGATAGATTAATAGGTGATTGCTTAATGACATTTCATTAAGATTAATGTTTAAATCCTAATAAAGTATTGTTTTCATGGAATTTTATATGTTACTAGGTTGGGGAAGCAGCTCTTGCCAGTCCATTAATGAAATACAGTGCCAAGGAGTATTATTTTTGTGCATCTTTATTGCATGCATGCATTGATGTTTTGAATGCTCAGGTAAAATTTAAAAAACCATTAAAATTCATTATATACTTTATTTGATAAATTTGTTTATTAACTGTTTGATAAAGTGTTTATGAAATTATTCACCTATTATGTTTTAAATATATACTTTATTTGTTCAAATAGTTTTGAAACTTTTATGCATCAACTTTACAGCTGAATTAGTTTTATTATTGTCATCCATTCTTGAGTTTGGTTTTATACTATATCTAACCATTATACTTGGATAAAACATGAGCTGTAACAATAATATAATATATGAATTCAAAATTTTCAATGCTCATTAAATTCCATATTTTTTTTTAAATTGCTCATAAATATGAAACAATAACTTGTAGTAGAGTTTCAGCAAGGATATATATACTAATTGATTATTTTAATGTTGATATTTATTTAATTTGTGTTTAAAAAATTTTGACTTATTTGACTTTTTAAAATAGTTTCCTTAAAATTTTTTCTTTAAATGGTCTTTTTACAGCATGCCATCAAAAATATGAGTTATAATAATGCATAAGTTTAAATTTTTGTAGTTTATTTTAACTATCTTCAAAAAATCTCACTTTGTTCTTCTTTTAAAATTATGTATGAATATATGGATATAATTTGCATTATAGTTTCATTTATTGTTTTCATGTTGTTATTTATTTTGTTTGTATATACAACTTTTCTTTATAATATTTAATTTTCAAAAATTTTTTGCAGCAAGCCATGAAGAAATATGAGGAAATATGTCCATCATTTCATGATTCCAGGGAATGCAAACTAGTTATGGTAAAAAGCTTTTGACTTTTAAAAGTTTTGGTATATTGAGCCAGTAATATTCAGTTATTATAACGGCAATTTTCAAGATTTCTAAAACATATCAAAAAACTAAAATTTATAATTTTTTGATATTTTTATAATTACATTTCAAGGATAACATGTAAAATAAAAGTTTTTTTTAAGAATATTTGAAGAAAATGCTGTTATAAAATATGGTACGATAAAATCTTTACATAATAACCTAAGGTACATGCCTGACATTACAGGCATTTTTCAGATTGCCGGGATTTGTTTTAAGTATCAATTATAAACACCTTTTTTAAGAGAGAACTTGACAAACCCAAAATCCATTTTAAATCATATTCTTAAATTATTTATTTGACTTAAATGTAATAAAAGTATGATATTTGTGCTAATCTAAGTGTTTGTTGAACTATTGCTGTTTGTGATTTTTTGGTAGGAATGTTCGATTATTAAGAGTATTAGAAGAAATTTTTTTTTTATAATTTAAACACTTTTTCTGTCATCACCTGCTCTATTTTGTATACGCTTCCAAAAGCTTTAATTTTTACTCAGAGAAAAGATAGCCTTAACGGACCCTTCACAAAATATCTTTTCATAAAAGCGGACCCTTCACAACATATATTAACTTAAAAACGGACCCTTCACAAAATAATTTATCTTTTAATCGGACGCTTCACAAGAGACACTCAAAAGACATTTGCGTATTATTGTAAATGGGCTGGAAAAATTGATGCTGAGTGTTCAGCTGTTAATAGATATTTTCAAATCTATTGACAATTGACATATATTGCTCTAATATTTTTTTAATCATGTTTTTCTGCTTTAATTCTAAGGCTAAGTTTGATCTCATTTCATGTATATTAAGTACCTTAACTTCTTTGAAGTAAAAAAGAAATTATAAATTCCAAATGTAGTATTCTAAGAAAATATTTCTATTTCTACAAACATGTGTACTTTCTTATTGATATTAAATGGTATTTTTTTGTAAATAAATAATTGAGCAATATATTATTCATAAAATTAATTAATAGAACACTATGTAAATAAAAATTAATTTTTGGCAATTTTTTAAATACAATATTATAAATTTAGAAATTGTTTAAGTTTATTTAATGTGTAACACATTAGAAGTGATACATTACTAAGTTGTGTTATTTAAAACGTGTCAACTGAAATTAATAAAAATGAGACTGATTTTGTTTCCATTATTCGTCCGAAATGAATATTCCGTGTTGTGCAGTATAGGCTAAATATCAAATATTTGTATGTTGCATCTCTAATTTAGTACCAGCAATAGCAATTTATTTTTAAAAATTTAATTTTTTTAAAATTATAATTTTTCAGTGTTGAGCATAATCTTGTATCCATGAAAAGGTTTTTTTGCAATAACAGGACTCTATTTGCACAAATTTACAAAACAGAACTCTGGTTGAACGAATGCGACTTAACGTTTATTTTATATTCACAAATTACGAGTAATTTTTTCACAATTTTACCAAAAAAGGACCTTTTACAAAATGTTTGGACAGACCCCTGTCAATCATTCCTTCAACAGAAGTGAATGGTTCTAATCCATCATATGTAAAATATTACTCAAAACAAGGAATATTTTCTTTACCTAAGTATGTTTACCTTGAAAAACTTAAAATCTTACCTTTGCTTCAATTAATAAGCATAGCACTGTTTTTTTTAGTCTACAAAGTCAATAACTTGGAATTGTATAATAGGCTAGAAAGGGGGAAATATTATAAGAACACTCATATGATATAACACATCACTCCATAAGTCCCCGATTAAGCACATTACCCGGCAGCACTGTTTACAGTCCCATATGATTTCGGGATACTAGTATCTTTCAAACGATACATGTCAAAATTTCTTGATTTACTGATAATCAGTTTATAGGTTACAAGTGGTTTTAGTGACTCCAATTTTGTAATTTTCCAAACAATGTATAAAAAAGAATTTCATGTGGTAATTCAGGGTTGCCACTCCACAGGGAGAACAGGGAAAACCTGGAAAATATAGGGAATTTAAAAATCACCTAAAATAACAGGGAAAGTGCAAGGAATTTTGATTTTTTTCTTTACAAACTGAGAAAATACAGGGGATTTTGTTTTTTTTAATTTTGGTCTTTTAAAAAATGGTGACCACTCAAAGCGTAATCTATGGGATATTTAACCATGATATTCCAACTATACTAAACTATTTCATTTACCATAGCATTATTTAAGTATGTTCAGCTGTTTTTCCAGCAATTGAAACTAATAAATATAGTTAGCCCAAGGACGCCGGCAGCGGGGTGCAAGGGGGTGCACTTGCACCCCCCAGGCTTTTTTTTTTAAAAACAATTAAAGAGATACAGAAAAATTTTGTTATAAAATTTTTTTGTTGAACATATTTTTATGGAAGAACAAATAATTAAGTAATTAAAATGTGAAAAATATGTAATTTAATAAAATGTAATAAAATCTTTTCATTTAATAAAATGTAAATAATATATTTTCTATTAGTTATTCAGTTTAACAAATGTGTATAACACAAGCTGACTTCTCGCAACTATAAAACTTCATCAACACAATAAATACCAATGTTAAGCGTACACAAACACGTTAGTATACGAAACTACTGTTTGTAGTTATTTGTGCTTCAAAGTCAGTAGCTATGCCAGCGCCAGCGCGATCGCCTCTGGGCAAAATTTGTAAGTACAAGAAATTCGTACTTTTTTTTAAATATCTTGCTAACAATGAAGAAACGTATCTTGAAAAAATGAACAGATGAAAGTATATGTAATAACATAACAAAATGTAACATTTTAATTTTTTTTCGGGGGGAGGGGATGGTAGTTTGTTAGAGGGTTGCACCCCCTTTTATACTATTCTGCCGGCGCCCTTGAGTTAGCCCAATATAGCTCACACAAGAGCACAGTAATTGTTGTTTCCTCTTAATATATTGCGTATAACAGGGAAAGCAGAGGGAATTTTTTTTCCAGATTTGAGTGACAACCCTGTAATTAAACATTTTTTTTTGATGGTGAAAAATACTGTTGAAACCAAAAACCCACTTAGTAAACATTATGGCAGCTCTGCATCAATTTTCAATTATTCGGTTAATTTTGACTGGTATGATAAATTTAAACATGTTCATAAAAGCACTGATGATGCTGAATGCTTTGTCAAATTGAATTGGTAGTTGTTCCAGAAAAAGTAAAAAATTTCACAAAATAGTTTTGAGAAACCTTAAAGTGAAGTTTTGTAGGATAGCTGACTTCTAAAAGATATCGAAAGTTGCTGTATTTGGAAATTGAGGAATTTTCAGTGCTCTGTTTGACGCAAAATAAAAAGGATTTTTTGCAATGATGTCTCACAATGGTTGAAAATTTAATTTCCCTGCAATACATTTGGATCAGATGGATCGTTAGCCGAGAGAAGCCGCTGAAATTCGTCCAGATTGAACGATACCTTAAAAGTCTTCTGACTTGGTTATGGCATCCATATTTTGGAATGTGCGCAGTATTTTATTTATCGACTATCTTGAAAAAGATTAAATTATCAACTGTCGAATTACATGGCACTATTGGATCAATTGAGTGTAGAAAAAAAAAACAAAAAAAAACAGCCTCACATGCAAAGAAAGTATTGTTTCACCAAGACAATGTCTTGTGTTGCAAGTCGAAAATTTGAATGAATGAAATGAAATTTGACTCAAAGAAATGATTGCTAAAACTGACGCCAATTTTGAGAGTGCAGACAAATCTTTTTACAAAAAAGAAAATGGCATTGAAAAATTTGAGGAATGTTAGAATGAATGTATTTACTCTTGAATGAGACTGTTAAAAAATAAAATCGAATTTTAAAAAAAAAATTGTTTTTTTCTTGTGTAAAATGGAGACTTATTGAGAGATGTGTTATTTTTATTTTAATTAATTTTTTCTCATTATTAAGATCATTTTAATTACAAGCTATTGCCATGTTCTCATTTCAGACACTTCTTGAAAAAATAGAAGAGCAAGATATTGATGGTTTTACAGATGCTGTTAAAGAGTATGACTCCATATCACGCTTAGATTCTTGGTACACTAATATCTTACTGCGCATTAAAAAGTCGATCTCAGAAAATCCAGATCTCTGCTAAATTGGCTGTGAATTATAATATTTCTATCCCTGTAAGTCGTGCACAGTATAAAACTGCAGTGATATTATTTATGAAGCTTTATTGTATCATATATGTATAATGACCAAATGCATCTATTTTGCAGTGCATTGTTATGTGTTCACTTATTTATTATAATTTATGTTTATTTTGTGATAATTGCATTTAGTTCATATATATAGTTGACTGCATTTAATTGAAGCTTATATCTGTTATTATGTATAAGCAATTTTTTCCTTCTTTTCTTTGGAAGATATTTAAAGTTTTTATAATATTGTTTATTTAATTGTTTTCATTGCTGCTGTTGTGAAAATTTTTTTTTTGTTCCGTTAAAGTTCTGTGAGCTTTTTTTTTGTTACAGAATGTATTTTAATTTTTAATTCGAAAGAAAAATGGAGATACTGATTATTATTTTGAGTTTGGTTGCATCATTCATTTATTTGTTTAGAAATATTCAAGATTTTCTATTTGACTATTTTATAATTTAATTAAATTTTTTTTTAAACTGCCTAAAAAATTAGTGTTTTTTAAAAATTTTTTTTTTTACATTTATGCAAAAAACAGCTGAAAATATTAGGTGAAAGCAAATTATTTTAAAATTTAATTTTGTGTTGTTAATGATGTAATATTATTACTTGTTTATTAGTTTTTTTTATAAATATTTTGTGCATAATTTTTATACAATTTGTTTAAAGAGCTTCAGATAAAATCACCGAAGTGAGTTTTATTTATTTATTTGACCAATAATTAAAAGCTTATTTTAAATGTGTTATTTGTGTATTGATTAGTTTTGCAGTTACATACTAATTTTGTTATAATGTGATATTTTATTTAACTATAATTTGAGTAGGAATTTGTTATTGTAATAGATGTTTGTTTTGGTAAAATATTTGCTTCTACTGTAGTTATTTTTTACCTTAGTTTTGTTTTTACCTTTTGTTTTTATTTTAGTAATTACTCACTCTTAAGTATTTTTAATAGTGTAAAGAAAATTCTTTGCAATTTGCACTGTTACTATGTAAATGTAAATCAAGATAATTAAAGAAAAAATTACATCTGTATTTCTCTATTATTCATCTGGTATTTTTCTTGCAATTTTAAAAGCACTACAAGTACTATTTTAATATATCTGATGACTTTTTGCAATGTTTCTCTATACAGTGATGACTCTATGCAAAATGCATATTACAATTTCAGTTTCAAGTGGATAGTTATTAGTTTCACTATTTTTACAAATTTTTTTTTTTAATATTTAAAGAAGTTTTGAATTTTATATAGTGTATTTCACATATCATTCTGAATAAACTAATGATGTAATATCTGTGTTTCAATAAATTTTGGGAGAAAAAAAATTTAGACTTTGTGAATCTTTTTCTATAATTCCGTAAATGAAAAAAATAATATAATTTTAGTGACAGTTTTTAACAAATTTAGCATTTATAATCTATTTTATGTTAAAAATTATAAGTTTAAATATTATTTTTAATTTTTAGAATTATTAAGTTTATTTCACAAGTGTAGTAAAGTTGTAAGCAACTATGTATTATTATTAAAAATTAATAAAGATTGTGTTTTCGGTTCTGTAGGTTTCAACTATTGTAAAATCATCACTAGTGAATATTAATCAAGGCATTCACAAATTAGAGAAAACTGCTTTACTGAAATTTTGAATCCTCCCCCCGCCCATCTTATCTGTGTTTCAATCAAAGTAATACTTTTTAATTTAAAGGGTTTCATGCTCACTATTTTTTTTTAATTCTAACTTCTCACAGAAGTGTTAATCTTTCCACTTCTTTTATACAATGATAAGTATTTAAAGTATTCATTCACATTCTTTTATTGAAATAACTATAATTTTTCTATTTTTATAATGTGTATTTAACTGTTTAAATTTCTGTTATTTTTTTTGTTTGTTTGTTTCTTTGTTTGTTTTTGAATTTATTATTTTTTCTTCATAAACATTGACATGCATTTATGTAAAATGTTTCTATAAAATATCTAAAAATTAATTTCAAATTTTTTTATTAACTGTCTTGTTTTTTAAAGAATAAAGGTGCGAAAGTGGTTGAAATGATTTCTAGAACTAAATGCATCCATGAATGAAATAATATATTTTAAGGTAAAAAGATATGTAAAAAACGCAATTTTTTAAAAATTGAAATAGTTTTCAATTTAGGATCTGTTTAGTTCAGTTGAAGGCTAATCATATTAAGGTTATTTGAAATTATTCCTTGAAGTAAAAGTATTGTCACCAAATACTTTTCTTAAAATTTAATTTTTGTTTAATTTATTTTTTCTTCAAAATTTAGTTTCTATTTCAATAATAAACAAGCTTCTAGTCAAACATTTACATTGTATTAAACATTAATATGTTCTTCCCTCCACTATGTCATCAACATGATTGCCCATACTTCACGTGAAAAATATATTTCCTCTCGGAAAGTTTATTAGTGAGAAATGTACTGTGGTGCTTACACACATCAGCTAATAGCCAGATTCTGTGCTGCTTGGTGTTTTTCCTCGTAGATGACACAATTTTACTCTCTCTCTCTCTCGTGGCATATGTGTGTTAGTGCAAGATAAAGAAAACTACAATATATCATGTGCAAATAGCATATACTTAAAACACTGTTTCTACTTTATACTACTACTTAATGGTTATAACTTATACATTCTTTTTGATCTAATAGTGTTGATGTGATTATGTTGGAGCTTTATTTATTTATTTTTATTCATTCTGGTTTAACTTTATGAAGTGAGTATTTGAATTAGGTATTGATAGATTTTTAATTTTTTGCCAAAATTGTAACAATTTTAAACTTTATGTGGCTTGAATCAATTTTAAATATTTTAGCTTTTTTATTTCAATCTGGATATAGATGTGTCACAAGCATTTTCAATTATTCAGAGAGAAAAAAAAAATGTGCATAGATTTTATGTCAGTGTATATCTCGGTCTTCTCTTTCTTTTTTGTTTATTGTTGTTTAGTAAAAAATAGTGTATTAATAAGATATACACCATTAACTTCTATAAAATATTTTCATTTATACTTTATTTTGCATATTAAAACTATTAAGAGAGAACGAATTTTTTTTCACTTTAATATAAAATAACTCAGAGAATTAGAGAAAGCATCAATAAAAAATTTGTAATCAATGTTTTTTTGAATCATTTTACTAAAAATGTGCAAAATTTAATGTTTTTTATCCAATAGTTTTCGCATTATGAGAGTGATCAGCATGTACAGCAAAACTTTTCTGTAACAGCAGTGACGGTAGTAACTTTTTTTTAGTATAGAGAGAAGCAGGATGAAAATTGGACTGATTATCGTGCCTACAATTAGAAAAATGTTTTTAGAAATGCCGTTTAAAGAGTGCAAAAGTTTATGTAAAAAAATCAGTTTACAAAAACTATTATAAAAATACTATAACTTTTATTATAAAAAAAATACTATAACTTTTTTATTTTAATGAATTTAAACTTAAAATTTTAATGGTAATTTTCTCAAGTGTGTATACTGTCAAATTATTTGAATCAAATATCAATTTTTGTTGTTTTCCATATTTATTGTTTTTACTTTAAAAAGTCTGTCATTGAAACAACTGATGATTAAATTTTGTACTCACATTCTTTCTTTGTAAAGCATAGCTTTTCTAACTAGTTTAGTTTTGAATGATTTTTTTAAACAATTAATTCAACTCACAAATTTGGACATAATTGTAGACATAACATGTGAGTCTCATTTAAATTAATATCAATTTATTTTTAAAAATTCAAAATTTTATACAAAACGGGCAAACCAGTTAGAAGTCAGTAACTCATATTAATATTAACTCTTTAAAGCTAAGCCAGATAAGAAAGTATTATGGAAAAACAAATTTTAGAAATGTACCTACAAAGTGAAGAGTTTTTATTTTCTCCTTTTGTCTCTTGTTTCTGGGCAGTTCTCATTCATAATGCATTTATATATTCTTTTCAGTTTATCTATAAAAATTTCTTAAAGATCATTTCAGTGAAATGTATTGATACTAATTTGTTATTTATATTAAATAATTTCCTGCTTATAATAAATATTATTCTTATTAAAATTATTGCGATAGTTTATTTCGGAAATTATTTAATCGAAATTGCTGCTAACAATTATTTTATTGTTTTTTCTTAAAGATCTTATTTCTCCTCTTTTAATTGTATGTATATACATTCTAAACTTTTCATGTTATCAAATTGTGAATCAAAAGAGGAAAAAATACTTCATTTTAAAAGTTGGTTCATTATCTATGGGGATATTCCACAAAATAAAACGATACAATGAGATTAATTTAGAGATCTCTCGTGAGAAAGTTTTACAATTTTTGCTGTAAATACTTGTAGACATTTTAGAGCAAAATTTCATGTTGAGCAATATTCATGTGTGTAGTGTATAAATTATTTCTAAATGTCTGTCTTTATTATGATGGAATTCATTGCTGTGATTTTATTTATTCATTAAAGTAAAATGTGTTTATTTTTAGTACAGTTGTAAAATATCTACTGATATTTAGTTTGTTATAATTTTGTTGATTTTGCTGTATATGATGTATTAAAAAGTGTTATTTGAGAAAGGTGTCTTTATTTATGTGATTAAAATCTATAAATATGTTATTGTAATTGTGAATGGTGGTATGCTATCTATTTTATTTATTTATTCATAATTATTCTCTGAACTTCCTGGTAATTTCTAAAAAATATGATTTGTGAATAAATTAAATTAATATTTAAATAAATCTAATATTTGATAAAACAAAACTAATATTAATAATTATTTCATTAAAGTTCATTTTATAATTTTTATGTTACGAAATAATTAAATATTAAAATGTTATAAAGGCACTTGACATAGTGATTTGTAAAATTTAAATGACTTATTCTATTAATTAGTAACCGTGTATTGATATGAACGAAAAAAGAAATGGTAGTGGGGAGCATATTTATTTTAAAATTGTTTAGTTTATTTTCATAAAACAATAACTAGTGCCTAAAATGATAACTTTGTTCTACAACAACCTTTTTATGTATTAGGTATAGCCGATCTCAACATATAATATACGAGATCAATCCTACAGACTAGTTATTGTTCAACTTTATTACATGGGTATAAATTGAAAAGGGAAAAAAATAAATAAAAATTTTATTAACTACTGATATTATAATTTTTTAAAACTTTTTGAAGAACTTGAAAAAATAATAAGCTATTCAAGTACAACTTCTCTTTCTTTTCAAGAGGAAATGTAAGGAAAATTTTTTTTGACATGAAAGAAAATATCCGTTAAATTTTAAGGAAAAAATATTTTCTCATTTTTTTTTACACAATATGTAATTTTATATTATAATTTTGAAAAATAGCTCGATTGGAATGAACTGTGATCTATATTTATCAGAACAATTTAGTTTTTTATTTTATGCTAAAACAGAATAATATCCTTACAAAAATATATGCTTATCAATTAATGTTTAATTTATAAGTAAAAACAAGTTTAAAAAATCATTATGAAAGTTATACAACTTTGCGATGTTTGCTAACTTTGTTTTAGTTATTCTAAATGGAAGATCTGCCAATTTCGAAATTAACCAATACAAAAAGGGATGGTATGGATTCAAAGTAAAAAAAGCTGGCCACGTAGCAGGGCAAATATCAGGGAATTTAAGTAAAATGGTAGACGGAAAAAAAGGTCTCTGGAAAAAAAGGTCCCCGGAAAAAAAGGTACCTCCGTAGGGAAAATCTGGAGGGATATTTCCCCTCTCGCTTTCTGGGCAGCATGAATGCTTCTCGCTGTTTCAATGAATATTCTTTTTATCTGTAATAATTCAGATTAGATCATTAAGGTAAGGAGAAGGGTAAGGGGGGGGGACTTATGGGCTGGTTGTATTACGCTTTTTTTAAAAAATTTTATTTCATTTATTTATTCTTCTTTTATTATTTTTTTAAAGCCGGAAGATACTATTTAAATTTTTCAATAATGTTTTACTTTTCTTTTGTAATTTTTTTAAGTGAAAAATGTGTTGTTTTCTATTTTAAATTATATTTTGTGAAGAAGTTGCTAATGTGAGGCTTAAGATAGCCAATCGGGGTAGTTGGGAGGATTTATGTGTTGGATGTTTATTGACTTCGAAAACGCGCGACACGAAAAAAAAAAAAAAAAACATGCACGGAACAGCAAAAAGCGCTTCAATCTAATCTTCTCATCTCAAATATTTTTCCCTACACAGATACCTTTTTTACCGGGACCTTTTTTTCCAGGGACCCTTTTTTCCGGAGACCTTTTTTTCCGGTACCTTTTTTTCCTAGAATCATGTAAAATACCCAAAAAGTGAAGAAGAGTGAAATAACTTGAGTTTGAAGTATCTACAAGTATAATATTTTTTTTTCTTCCAAAAAAAAAAAGAAGAAAAAACAAATTTCATTTTGAACTCTATTGCAGGTAAAGTGTTAGGTAATATATTTTAAGTACTATTAGATTTCGGCATAACTGAAAAATTAGTAAAAAAAAAAAAAATCATTTGGAAAAATTTGGGGATGTTTTTTCTTCTTTCTTTGTCAGTGTTTGTAGCTACCTTGCAAAACAACTACCTTGCAAAATATAAGCTTTCTTAAAGACAGATTAGTTTAAAATAGAGAGTCATAACCATAATACAAAAGTGACTTCGTTTAATAAGATTTGTGGAATGGAATTGATGTGCGGCTTCTTGTACTTTGTGTAATTCAGGAATTTAAGTCACGAAGACTCGAAATAAGATTTAATAAAAGTATTGTTTTTCTTATGCGGATTTTGGTTTTCGAATCTTAAAATGTAGGGGGGGGGGGAAGAATCTTAAAAGTTTGTTTGGACATTGGAATTTCGATATTTTATCTGAAATTGGTTGCACGAATCACAATATTTTTGCGCTAATTTATAAAAACGGCTAAATAGAATGCCATACAAAAATCATTTTTTAAGTACGATTTATTATTATTTAACAATGATCGATATTATTTTGATTTATACACGAATCTCGACAACATCTATAATGATGTAATCGAGTATTAAATAAAAATACAACGTTTATGAATTTTTGTTTTTCGGTGAATATTTGATCGCTTTCTTTCAGCTTTAGATTTTGTACTATAAAAGTACATGTTTTAAGGGGTTGTATAATTTGTAAGTGTTACTTATGGAAACTTTTTGATATTTAAACGATCAAAATGATTTCTTCGACCTTTTTTATGAAAGTTTTTTTCTAATTAAATAGTAAAAAAAATCAACGCCCCATTTTTTAGTATGAAATTGCCCTTTGTTTCTTAAACTGTCTTCGAATTATCAGTGATACAAATTATTCCCATGTTGTAACAGAACTATTTTATCGAATGGCGACAGGAATACTTTGCAGGCAGTCGACCTCCAGCTTCGAAAATTATAGGTTCCCAATTGGTCTTTGTTGCTTGAATGTTAATTATTAATTGTTTATATGATGCACGTTAAATCTGTCGAGTCACAAAGTCTTCCATGTTCCCATAACAAATCAAACCTCTGGGGTACTGATCCAGGAGTTTCCTTGTCTTCTGAATTGGTTCAAAATCACAAGGCTATGGAGTTGAACACAGTAGTCGTAAACCCAAAATTGGGTCAGCTGTTCAACGACGGTTATAAAAAAAATGCTAGGTATAGAGCGTTCACCTTTCAATGAGGGGGACTGAATTCGAATCCTAGTGATGACTGGTCGATACGAATTCCGCATCCGACTTGCACCGACGACAGTGCTGACATAAAATATCCTCAGTGTTAGACGGACCATGGGTTAAAGTCCCCTTTTCGTCAGGCTAACGTGAGAGATTTTCGTGATTTTTCTTTCCATGTCACGCAAATGCGAATTAGTTCTATTAAAAAGTCCTCCACAATGGCAAATTTCTCCCGATACTCGATTCAGATGTTTCCTTGTCTTCTGGATTGGGCTCAAACTTACAAGGCTACTGAGTTGAACATTAGAGTCGTAAACCCAAAAAATCAGGTCGGTTGTTCTTCGACGGTTATAAAATAAAATAAAGTGCTAGGTGTGACGTCTCTGCTATATTGTACATTCTTAGTATGAAGCAAACTGAAGACCTGACTTTTCTGGTACAAATTGGTGACGTAAATTTATTACTTTATTTTTCTTTCAATTGTTCGACAGCTTTTTCTAAATAAACGCGCTGATCGCTTATTTTGCTAAGCTTAATTAATTAGTTTTCTTTTATCAAGAGAAGTTTCATTAGAAACATTAACACAACCATTCTAGGTGTTTTATTTCGTAACTGTTCTGTGTTTTGTCATTTTAAATCAGAACTTTTTGGCATTTTTTTTACCTCTCAGAATTAATCGCCAATCGTCATTTCGATCACTTTCTAAATAACTAAAGTACTAAAAATTCAACTGGGTTTCAGTGCGTGATGACGAAACATATTACATTTATGTATTTTCAAGTAATCATATGGTTGTGCATGTCGTGTTAACGTTATAGCTTTTGAACTTGGTTTTATTATCACGCTGAATAAATTTTCGGATCAAATTTAAATGTATACCTGTAAGCGACGTCATGCGTGTGTGCTGAACCTGATAGGCTGACCCACGCGTCTGCAGGTTAAATTTTCATTTTATCCCCCATAGAATTTATCGAAAATCAAAATTTTGGCCTCTTTTCGACAATCTAGTGTGCTTAAATTTCAGTGCTCCTTGACGAATGACGATACAAATTTCAATAATTTCCTAATCATTTGAAATGGAATGTATGATCAAATCGAATTTATTCGCAAAATAAACAAACAAAAAAAAAAGCTATTTTTTATTAACTGAAATCAAAAGGAGAAAATAATTGCATTTTATTAAATACCTAGAACCATAAACCTGGAGAGCATCACTTTTTAAATAAACTTTAATCATCACCATCGACAACTTCCCCCTCTTCACTTATTCTTCAAAGGTGATGCGGCCGAACGTTTTTCATATTATCGGCGTGTCAAATATGAAATTACTTATTCCTTATATATGATTTATTTAAAAAAGGCGTTTTTTAACATTTGTTTGTTCGTGTTTGAAGCAAGCAAAAAAGCTCAAAATCTGTTTAGATCTAAATGGAAGTGAAATGAACAAGTTGAAAGTGGACACCCAATCACCGTAGATCACCATGAGTAAAGTAAAAGTTCGCTAACCCTGAGACAGTGTGAGGTAATCACAGGATGACCGGAAGACCGGAAGAGTTAGTTATCATCTCATCATCATCCCTACTTAAGTTCGCTATCGTCTCACATATATTGTTTTACACAATTGTTACACTGAATAAAGTTTCCTCCCATTTCGCGAGTTTGCAAATACTTTTACCTCTTATTAAGTAAGATATAAAATTAATCTTTATTTACTTTGAGATTGGGAAGCTTGTATTGTTGTTCTAATTACACTTTTTTTCCTCAGCAATTTTACAAAGACTCACGAAGTAGTTACACTCAAATTTTTTCTGTCAAAATAATAAACAAACAAATAAAATATTAGATACTCGAATAATAATAACAATAATACACTGGTGGACAAAATTAAGAGATGGAAGACATTT